ATTTTAGCGATTCTCATTTGCTACAAAAAACATTAATATTAGATCAAATTAGCGCAGAATCAACTTAGCATTGCTGTCGCGAACACATCAAGGATCACTCAAATTTCGACATGCATCATCAAAAGCAGTTGTAAAGAAAAGTCCTGAGCTGAATATTTGTACCATCTAGTGGTTTAAAAGAGAATAAAGTCAAATGGACCTTTTACCCCGATGCGCCTTTAGCCCCGTTGTATATACACTCACCTAAAGGATTATTAGGAACACCATACTAATACTGTGTTTGACCCCCTTTCGCCTTCAGAACTGCCTTAATTCTACGTGGCATTGATTCAACAAGGTGCTGAAAGCATTCTTTAGAAATGTTGGCCCATATTGATAGGATAGCATCTTGCAGTTGATGGAGATTTGTGGGATGCACATCCAGGGCACGAAGCTCCCGTTCCACCACATCCCAAAGATGCTCTATTGGGTTGATATCTGGTGACTGTGGGGGCCATTTTAGTACAGTGAACTCATTGTCATGTTCAAGAAACCAATTTGAAATGATTCGAGCTTTGTGACATGGTGGATTATCCTGCTGGAAGTAGCCATCAGAGGATGGGTACATTGTGGCCATAAAGGGATGGACATGGTCAGAAACAATGCTCAGGTAGGCCGTGGCATTTAAAAGATGCCCAATTGGCACTAAGGGGCCTAAAGTGTGCCAAGAAAACATCCCCCACACCATTACACCACCACCACCAGCCTGCACAGTGGTAACAAGGCATGATGGATCCATGTTCTCATTCTGTTTACGCCAAATTCTGACTCTACCATCTGAATGTCTCAACAGAAATCGAGACTCATCAGACCAGGCAACATTTTTCCAGTCTTCAACTGTCCAATTTTGGGGAGCTCTTGCAAATTGTAGCCTATTTTCCTATTTGTAGTGGAGATGAGTGGTACCTGGGGTCTTCTGCTGTTGTAGCCCATCCGCCTCAAGGTTGTGCGTGTTGTGGCTTCACAAATGCTTTGCTGCATACCTCGGTTGTAACGAGTGGTTATTTCAGTCAAAGTTGCTCTTCTATCAGCTTGAATCAGTCAGCCCATTCTCCTCTGACCTCTAGCATCAACAAGGCATTTTCGCCCACAGGACTGCCGCATACTGGATGTTTTTCCCTTTTCACACCATTCTTTGTAAACCCTAGAAATGGTTGTGCGTGAAAATCCCAGTAACTGAGCAGATTGTGAAATACTCGACCGGCCCGCCTGGCACCAACAACCATGCCACGCTCAAAATTGCTTAAATCACCTTTCTTTCCCATTCTGACATTCAGTTTGGAGTTCAGGAGATTGTCTTGACCAGGACCACACCCCTAAATGCATTGAAGCAACTGCCATGTGATTGGTTGATTAGATAATTGCATTAATGAGAAATTGAACAGGTGTTCCTAATAATCCTTTAGGTGAGTGTATATATATATATATATATATATTGTTACTAACTGATAATGTTACTTATCATATTAAGTATGTGTTACAATATTGAGTTACTCCCTAAAAAAGTAACTAAGTAATGCAATACTTAGTTACTTTTTATGGAAAGTAATGCGTTACATTGCAGGGGAAGAAGAAACATGCGATAGATGCATTGCCCATGTAAAATAACACGATCATCAAACATTACACAGCATACAAATCTAAACTGCCTAATGTTACCCATGAAGAGGTATATTGTTCAAACTTTTGGGGTGTTGATGGATGTTCTGAATCTGGAAGTATTTTTTTAAACACGATTTTCTCAGCTTTTTGGTCAAAATGTTGCTTTTTTTAATTGAACTTACCCAAATTCAAGTGTTGATAAAAAAAAAAAGAGTGCATGAGTGCTAGTATTAATATTTTTTTCATAAGCAGAAGCTCTGTTCTTTCTTTTGAGTATATTCAGATATTCACAACAAAATATTCTGGGGGCCATGGAAGTTTTGTGAGAATGATCAAAAAAGCTAGCGCTATCTGGCAACTTAAAAAAAAAAAAATGAAATCTGGCGGGGAAAGAGTTAATTGCATCACATGAGCTAAAGTTTAATCGTGATAATGCCTAAATCTCATTATAATCGCATTATAAGGGTGCATGTAAACATAGTTATTGATATTGCTGTTTATTCAATTGTATTTATGTTTGTATATATCGTCAATAAAGTTGTAGTCATAGTCAGTCTCCAGGTAGTCATAGAATCAATCAAATGCAACGAAATGGAACAATCCGTCTTGGTTGTAGGACAAGTATTGTTTTGATGCCAGTGTACTTTACCTTGGTTACAAAAGCTCATATACTCTCATTGAGGAAACAAACAAATTAGCAAACAAAAACCAACACATATCCGCCAACATCCAATATAGCCTAATTTGTCTTGTAAATGCTTTGTCAAAGAGCTTCCTAATGGTGTAGGACAATAGTAACAGGGAAAGAGAGAGAGAAACAAAGCCAAAAATAGAAAAACAGATTGTCAAGACTGTCTGCCAGTTTATGATGATTCTCATGCAATTGCATTTCTTGAAGTAAAGAAAATAGGAAGTTTATAGGATAGTTTGTCATATATTAGTTACTTCAAAATATGACAGCCATTTAACAAAAGAAACGTATGTCAATTTTGCCAACAGAGCCATGTATATTAAGTACAAATATATGGACTTCACCAAGAAGTTCAGCCAACGTGAAATAAAAGAACACAATAAAATAAATGTACTGGACTTAAAGAATCCCCAAGTGGTCACATAAAAAATACTTCAGCATCCAAATGCTAGCAGAGGAAACGTTTTGTCCATTTCAGAGCTGAGAGGACAAAGGAAGATAAATGGACAAACCAGATGGGCAGTCTGAGAAAGTCTCCAACAGACAGAAAAGGTGAATGAGGATGCAACGAGGAGAAACTCTCTGATATGAGATTGACCACTTTTCATCAACAAAAAGCCTTATTTCTACTGCAAGAATGAGATCGGCTCATTTAAGTCTGAGAATTCTGTGAAATGTCAGAATGAGAAAAAAGAAATGTGCAGTGTAACCAAAGTCATGCCACCTTATGTCATGTAAGAATGCCATCATTTCAATTCAGATGAACTCATTTCCCTTACATGCTTTTTTTGAGCTTATAAAGTCTATTCTATAACGGGGTCTGGTGTTTGCCCTTCAAAACTCTTCAATGATTTATGAGGCAATCCTTTGAGTGGCATGTTTGAATTATAGATTTCCAGATATTTACAGTTCTCTCAAGGTTTATTTTAATTATTTGGTCCAGGTCGAGAAAAGTTGAGATTCAAAGATATCAGGGAGGCAGAATTTCCATCACTTCCTGTTCCAAACTTAATTTTTTATTTAATGAAAGTTTTTATATAAAACAGCACTCCCAGCAGCTTAAAATAAATCTGTACTGTTAATTTTTTTTAAAGGAAACACTAAAAACTGTAATTTATCTTATAGTGAAAAAATGATATTATATTTAATGGGAAAATAAATTTTACAGTAACATGTATGACCCATCACATTTTATAATATTTGATCAGTTGTATAATGCTGTTTAATGCTACATTATTGTTTGTTATTTCTGCCGTACTTCTAAAATATAATTTGCAGATGTGTATATTAAAACTTGGCACATGAAAACCGCAAACAAAATATTTGATTTTATGTTGATTTTTGGAGCCTGACATCCCCTGTATAGTGAAACGTAATTTTACTGTAAATTGTCACTGCAAGTCAAACTTTTCCCATTCATTTTCATCATTTTCAGTGAAAAAGCCTAAAGGACTTTTCTCCAGATGTTGCTGCAAGCAGGGGCGCCGCTAAGGCGGTGAAAGTTAGGATGATTCTAAGGGCCCATGCACTTTTGGGGCCCCCAGAGATCGATTGTATTAATGGAATGGGTGCGATATACCAACCTCATATTCTTTCATAGGGCCCAAAATTGTTAGGGGCGCCCCTGGCTGCAGGACCCATCACATTTTATTATTTAATTTAATACTTATGCTTTGTTATAAGTTATGTCAAGTGTTTAATGCTATTGTTTGTTATTCGCGCCATACTTCTCAAATATCATTAGGGGATGTGCATATTAAACTTGGCACACAAAATGTTTGATTTTTAGGTCAAACTATTGTTTTAAACGTCTTGCTTATGCCACCAATTCATGAGGTTTCAACAACCTTTCAGATACCATGCAGTCTAAATCTTCAATTGACTCTCATTCTTTAGGTCTCACAGAAAAGGGTTTTATGATATCTGTAGTGTAATCACTTTATCATGTGTACCTGCCTTTATGAGCACTTCACATCACTGATAAGATAACCACACACATTAAGCTGTTTCCATGTAAACAATCCAAAACAGTGGAAGACAACGAGTTTCAACAAAGTTTTAACTGGATATTGGATAACGTTATGTTGTTATAAAAAGCACAAAGATTCAGAGGCCGTAGGTATAGGCAAACAGGGCCCTCCTCATATTAACATTTTATTTTTCCTTAAGTTGTGCTCCCCAATGTTCAGGTTTAATTCTGTGTAAGACAGTGACCACTTCTATTGTTAGGTGTTGGTCTAATTGACTTTTAGGGGCCCTAGACGGCTGCCTACCTTTGCGTTGAGTCCGCCCATGCACAGATCACCGTTCGTGACCGGGATGGGAGCCAAATTGCTCCATGTTCTCTTTTGCTTTGAGGGAGTGGTATGAACGAAAGCAAACACCAACTAATCCGAACTCACTTTTCTCTGGTCTGTTTGGCTGACTGTTTCTCTTGCGCTATCATTACCATTACGCAGAATAATTACATCAGCTGCAGCCACTTCCAGGCATCGATCTGTAACTCGAATCAATCCTCTGGAGACACGAAGGGATGAAATGGTGATCTATGGTGGTGTGTGAGGGGAAAAACCTGACTTTCAGGCACTATAAGAGTTCCAGTCTGTGCAATGGTGGGACAGTTCCTGGTATAGCTACGTCTCTTCCTGCAAACACAGCTTTCTAAGTGCTTTAATGAGATAGTGGGCAAGAAAAAATGTCCATGGGATGCTGCATGTGAGAAACGGGAATATGAGGATGTGCAGCGTATGTGTGACGAGTTTCTAATTAAAGACACGGCGATGTAAGCCCACGAGGGACGACTCCTTCCGTCTGGCAACCTCAATAAATTGGCGAGAATCGACGACGAATGTTTCGAGACGTTTAATACGAGCGGCGCGCGCGCTCAGTGTCCACGAGGAGCTTTCACTGGAGTTATCTCAAGTCTCGGAAACATCAGAAAGGAGTCTGACCACTCAAACTTCCCACGCTTGAGTATAATAAAGGACGATTCGCTTGAAAGGATAGTTCTCTCTCTCTCTCTCTTTCCCAGCTCGTTTTGCAAACCTTGTGTGGTTATATAGGCACCGTGACCGGACACTCGAGACTCAATAAAAACACCGCACGCTCAATTGCCTCAGGCTGTGCCGATTGAGAGAAAGAACTGCAGCCAACGACCGTCCTCAGGTAGGTTTACTGGAGGCATTTATGACCTATGGTGATTCTTTTTTTAAACTTTTTTTTTTTTTTTTTTGACCACATCATACCTAACGTTATTGCTTACACATTTTTTCTCCGGAACTCTTTTCATTTACAAAAGGATTTAAAATAGGAGAAAATCATTACGCCTCTATGGGCTGTGATGCTTTAAATACGAATATAGTTTCTTACTTTGTACTTTCATTTTAACTAGTTTATCTACAGAATCAGTCAGTTTGAATTTGTTGAATTTGAATTCAGTCTGAATTTATGTTTAGGAGCTTAGGCTATTGCACATGTCTCTTTAATAACTTGAATGGTGTGCTCATTTATATTGTATGTCTGGTAGCCTATATTTTTCCATAAAACTCCAAAAACATAACGAACAATGGTTAGCTAACAATAAAATCCAGGTGCAACGCTGAGATTATTTGGTCTTGGAAGAATTTGATGAGAAATGAGTTGATACTGAAACTTTTGATTGCATATGTGGGTATCTTTCCAAATCTGAGCACAGTTTGAGACATTGTTGAAATCTGTAACTCTAGAGAAAACACGTGTGAGTTTCTGGGATCTATTTTTCTGGAGAAACATCTGAGGAGCATGACACTTCTTGTTTTGTTCTTCATGCAATGATATTGCTGTCGAGGAGAAATAAATTAATTTTGATTACCTAAATTATTAAAAACGACTTTGTGAATGACAAAAGAATGACTAGGTGTGTCCAAACTGGTAGTGAAAGTGAAATAACACTTTTTTGAAAGAAATCGTAAAAGCCTCCAGTTTATTTTTAACGTAAAGTGGACTTTTGCATCTTATAAACCTTGTGACTTCTTCACCAGGACCTGGGCAGTGCGGGACGTGCGCGCACTCTGTTTGCGAGAGCGATGTGTGCGCTGCGGGCCCCGGTGATGCTAATGGGGCTCGTAATGTTAATCTGTACCTCCGCACAAAGCGATCCCAGGGCGAACAAGGTTGAAAAAACATTCAGACGGATAATGGACATCATGAGACAGGTGGAAAACAGATCTGACGACGCGAGCGCGCAGAAGACTGAGCGTGCACTCGAGCCAAAGGACGCTCATAATCTCAAAACGGAAAGTGGGGAAACAATTTTAGGTAAGCAGAGCATTAAATGTCCACAAAACTAGAAATGTAAGTTGTCATTGCATTGGATAATTAAATGTGGCAAGTTGCATTTACTTAAAAAAAGAAGGATGGCACACTTTTCAAGCAAACTGTTTGTTTGTTTTTAAGATAAAATGACACCTACTGGTTGTCAAACCTTATAGTGGAACATGTCCACGTACCTACCAAGAAACTGTCTTCATGCTTCCACCATAAGTCACCTTGAGACCAGTTACTTAAAAGTCATTGCAAAAATAGTTCTAACTGCTAGAGCTTTCTCTGAACTAACTTCACTTTTCTGAACCATTTCAGTATATAATGTTGCCACTTGGTTTGATATTTAATTATGTAATGCAATGAAATCACACTCTATATGCCTTATTTTTCCTTGGCCTATATTTAGGAAGGATATGACTTACCCACTAGGGCACTTGCCAAAATCTTAACTCTCAAAGCATTGGGTGAAACAGTGTTGCATTGCACCTGTCGTGTGCCGACTAGTCAGACACGTGGTACTGGTGATCAGCGACTCCCAGTTATTACAGTGGCCTAGGATTTTATCATATAAGAGAGACATTAAGCTACATGTAGCCTACTTAAAAAAAGTACTGAACATACATTTGTGTTGAATGAATAGTTATAATATTGGTGAGTGTTATCAAATGAATACTAAGAATAGGTGATCATGGTTTGTACAGAAAGCTTGTTTTTGGGATCTAAACCGCTTAGTCAGAGCATGTTCATTGCTGGGGAATGTTGAGCTGAGAATTTGTCTGAGCTTCAGACTCGTCCCTCTTGAAGGATCAGCGGATATTCAGTATTTGACCTTTGAATGTTTCTTTCTCTTTGCAGAAATCTTTCCCAGAGACCTCAGAAAGAAAGAGAAGGTTATAAAACACTTAACAGGTGGGAGACTTTAGAGTTTTCTGTGACCTCAAAGCAACAAAGGAAAACAAAAGTGTTTGAGAATTTTAACTGGGCTGTTTTCCTTCCATCAGGTCCTCTTTATTTCAGTCCAAAATGCAGGAAGCATGTCTACAGGCTTTACCATAACACCAGAGACTGCACCATCCCTGCATGTGAGTACAGTCAAGCTTTCCCATCTCTTCAGACCCCACAAACAAGTTACACCTCTGCCCACATGCACCACGACCCTGTACAAACTGTCTTTATATTCATGACAGTCTCATGTCGGCTAGGTGCCCCTGATATACCCATGCACATGGAGTTTTAACACAGAAACAGTATAGGCTACAAATTCAGGACTCATCCAGCTGATTATCCAACTCATCAGGCTTTACTCCTGTCCTCAGACTACAAAAGGTGCGCGCGACTCCTGACGCGACTGGCGGGGAGTCCGAGATGTCAAGAGGGTTAACTTTACCAGGTAAGACACTTTTAATTCCTTTTTTGGTTACACTTTATTTTGATAAGACCATTTTACACATTCTACCGACCAAGTAACTTTGCAACTAAATGTCAACCAACTCTTATTCAGTTGCAACTACATGTCAACTAACTCTCTTTAGAGTATTAGTAGACCATTAGGTTCAGGTTAGTAGAATAAGTTGACACGTACTTGCAAAGATACTTATAAGGCGCGTTTCCACCTAAATTACCCGGAGTTTCCAAGTACATTGAAGATTAGGCAAATTAGTCCGGTGACCTAGGATCAACAAATGCGGCATGAACTCCACCAATCAGCATGTTCAGTGCCCAAGTCCCACCCCCAAAAGTTTCTGAACTTTGAAAAAGTACTACCTCAGAAGCAGGGACTTTCTAAGGGGAAAATTGTTACCTGGAACTTCATTTAGACCCGGGTTTCTGCGGACAAAACACACAGAGTACCACCCCAAAGTTCCTAGGGAAAGTTTCTGCGGTGGAAACATGGCTATGTCTGTAGAGGGAGCATCAAAATAAAGTGTTAGCAGATAAGCAGACAGTCTAATAATACTAATAACAGTTGACATGTAGTTGCAAAGTTACTTATAGGTAGTAGAATGACTAAAGTGGACCATCAATATGAAGTGTTTCCCTTCTTTCATTACTGAATGAAGGAAAATTGAGTTACAAGAAATTGGAGAAGAGATGGGGAATGAGATATGCAGGGTTCCCATGATCCTGGAAAAGTTATGAAAATGATGTCTTAAAAAGTCATTAAAAAGCCTACATTTAAATAATTACATCTATATGCATTGATTTAAAAATAGAAATGTTTAAAAACTAATCACATTTGTCAGAATTTGTGGGAACTCTGGAAACTACACAGATTCGAAACAAAAAAAAAGATGTTACATATGCATGTAGGTAAATTACAAAAGTACAACAAAAAAGGGATTTATTCCGCACTTTCAGAGAGGATGCATGCAGTTAAAGCTTTTAAGACCGAGAACACATTCCAGGATTAGATAACTTATCCAACCTATTACAGATAAACCTCCGTGTCTTAGCGTTAAGATCTCTTGGATGTGATTTATTAAGCATGTATACAAACTTTACATCAATGCTTTGGAGACCACTTTAGAGGGAGTGCATGTAACAAACCCTGTATCCCAATTTTTCACAGAAGGGAAAGAATTTTCAGATGCATCCAAGTGCACACATGTATATGATCACAGCCAAGTCTGAAACATCCCTAAACTTCACATCCTTTATTAAGCAGGTTGAAGCCAAACCAGAGTGACCCCAAGAAGGAGGAAAAAAAACAGCAGTCAAGTGCCTTTGGACAAGAGAAGAGAATTTAAACCAACACGCAACATTCCACATAATCAGCATATCGCGTCCAGAACACTGCTCTGCCTCTCCGGAGGATAGATGTGAGAATGCACTTGCCCAAGGACGGTGTGATGGACTCCGCATGGAGCCGATGTTAAAATACAGGACGTCAGAGAAAGCAAGCAAAAAACGCATCTGGCGTATTGGGCTCTGAACCTGTCTGCCAAAAAAGAAAACCATTTTTCCATCGTTTCATCATGAAAAAAGGGATTGCCGTGGTTTTCAGTTTTTTGTTCTCATCAGATAACAAGACTCGTCACAGCCAGTGATTATTTCGTGCGACATGCCTCGATGGGGTTACAATTCAGAGCTATGACGAGAAATTGTCCATTATGGTCAATTCAGTTCTCTGTGCTAGAACTGAAAACCAGTTAACTGCATGAACGTTTCCTTTCGCTTCTGTTTGGCAGCTGCAGACAGGTTGATCTGTGCAGTAAAACCGTGACCAAAAGCTTTTAGTTTTTGTGTGAGACTGAGTGTATGACTGTGGAATATATTCAGTATATTTTGATATGTAAATATTGTACAAATGAGACCTATAACAAACATATCAGGGTCTGACGTACGACTGCTTCGTTGGGATATGTATATTTAAAAGACAATATATTTAAATAAATTATGATTGTTTAAACATTGTTGTCTTTAATATAAAAGTACACCCAAAAATTTGAGGTTGATCTTTTGCAGCATAAAACATAGTGTCTGTAGTTTAACAGCTTATCTCGGCATCAGAAACTATTTTTTCAAGGGAGTTCAGGACCTCTTATCGCTCATGAAGGATGCTTTGGATGCTTCTGAGATATTGAATTTTTTTGTCTGTAAGTAACCACACCAAAGATAACGGTCAACTTCTGTTGCTAAATATCTTAGCTCATCTGCTAAAAATTCTCCAGAGAGTTCCCAAAAATATGAAGAGGATGAATGAGAGAGGAGGATAAAGGGGGGGAAAGGTGGTAAAAAAAAAAAAATGGCAGAAGTCAGTCATGTAGCATCCACCTTTCCTCATCTAAATCCCCTAGATCCTAATTAATCAAAACGAGTGGCACAACCACAATCATATTCAAAGAAACTAGGGGAAAGCCATAAAACTGTCATAGAAATGTACAAAAATGTAGCTAAAAAGTGTTGGTGTAAGAAGCGGAAAAATAATCTCATGCCAAAGTAATTTCAGCATTTTTTGCCGGTTTATTTTGGTGAATTTACTCTCTTCAGAGAGTATGGTCAACAGAGGCAGTCTACCACTGCTCAAACAAGCATCCTATGACAACTTATTTTACAATTAAGACAAAGTGCTTCTCTATACGCTGCTATCATTTGGCTTGCGTGTTTAGCTTATGAAGACACTTAAAGAATGTTTCAATCAGATATTCATATTTGAGTTTCTCATGATGAGGCGTCGAAGGGTTCCAGAAGATGGTCGTTGTGTGTGTGTGTGTTATGAGTGCTGCTCCAGGAAGACTTTGCAGCACCTTGCACACTGTTCATACACCGTCTCAAAGTCTTTATCACTCCCCTGCAAGCGAAAACAAACAGAAACCATTAAAGACACCAGATCAAAGACAGCACAGCTGAAATGTCTTGATAATTGGTTATGAGCATATATGGCCCATACTGCCTGTTTTTTCTCTAGATTACTTAGTGATATGTGCATTAGTATGACTGAACTGAAACAATACTTTTTTTTGCCTAATTTGAGCTTAAAAGAAATACCTATGAACTACTGTTGTCAGATTGTTTTATTATTGGCAAACAGTAGAGCTGCACAAGTATTACAAGTCCAACACTGGCTAATAGAATTAATCTGTCTATATAAATAACAACAACAGCACTAAAAAACTAAAATCAGTCATTTTAAATGCTACAAATGTATTTAGACATAACAACATTATAATGTATGAACAATGTATATTTATGCTGAGATTTGCTACAGAATACATTTAACAGTGTTATTATACTATTAGCATTTGGATGCTAATAATTTATTAGAACTTAAACTTAATAAAGATTCAGTTTAAATGAGTGTTAGATGACAGCAAAGCTAAATCTAAATGTACATGTAAAAATAGAGAGTAATAATAATAATAATATGGAGAACACTTCAAATGTAATAAAGGCTTCGCATCAGTGCTATTTTAGTATTTTTTTATATACTGTTATAGTATTTAGTCACATTTTAAAATTGGCGTTTATGTTTTTAGGTTTAGTCGATTTGTTATTTGCTTGTCACTTTATTAATTGTTATTTCTATTTAGCTTTCATTTATTTTTATTACAGTTTTAGCGTCATTCATTTTAGGACTTCAACTTCAAACTTATTTCAGTTAGTTGACAAGGCAACATTTCTGATCCATGATAAAAGTGCTCAACACGGCTCTGGGGGGTTAAAGCGTTCTGAAGTAAAGCGATGAGTTTGTGTAAGAAAAATATCCACATTTTAAACTTTATCGACTAAAATAACTAGCTTCTGGCAGACGGCTTCGCAAGTCGACTTACGCCAAAAGAGTAACACTTGATGTATGATGTAGGAGTAGCATAAGCTTTGACGCCTCTCGTGGTTCAAACAAATAGGGCTGGGCAACAAACTCAAGCTCCTCCGACATTTCTCTTTAAAAATTCTCGTTTTAGACTTGTCATTTGTGAATGGAGTTTTGTATTGCTCTATCCTCTGCACTCCCGGGTTCGTCAATGCGTCATGCGTCATGTCAAGGGTTACTCTTTCGCCGTAAATCGATGCGTACGGCTGTCTGCCAGAAGCTAGTTATTTTAGTCGATAAAGTTTTAAATGTGGATATTTTTCTTAGACGAACACATCACTTCACTTCAGAAGGCCTTTATGAACCCCCCAGAGCCGTGTTGAGCACTTTTATCATGGATGGATGCACTTCATGGACTTCAAAACAGAAACCAGCTATTCACTGGCATTATAAAGCTTGGAAGAGCCAGGACATTTTTTATATAACTCCGATTGTATTCGTTTGAAAGAAAAATGTCAAATGGCTTGAAGGTGAGTAAATCATGGGCTAACTATCCCTTTAACGCGCATTTCTCTCTAAAGGCGCACCTTTATCCCATCTATGGAGATGGCAAGTCAGAATTGTCAACTTCATCTTTGCAGCGGTCACTGACTCAGAAAAAACTAGTTGTTAAAGTCCACCTGTAGTAATTCACCGAAATGACATATTTAAACGTTTTTTCATAAGAATTTTTTTTTTCATGCTTTAAAAATAGCTTGAATGCAACACTACATCCTTGCCTTATTTAGTGATCCACTCACTCACACCAGCTCAGAGAACCACTCGCTGATGATCACACGTTGACCTAATTGGTTACAAGGTAGTTTGTTACATCAGAAACACCAGTGATTTCAAACCGTGTTTTTGAGTTCACTGCAGTTTTAAGGAGAAAATACTCCGCAATGGGTGTTGATTTATGAATTTGCACATGCTTTGTCTTAAAGCATATTAAAAACATTACATAGACATAAACAACATTAAAAACTTGATTTTTACCCCAGGGGGACTTTAAAATGTTCAGCTGTTTTTTCTGACACATTCATAATCATTCCACTTGAGCGCTTACTTTATATTTGAAATGGTCATTATAATGGTTTAGTATTTCTATAATTAAATCAATATCTTAAACGTCCGACTAGTCGACTAATACTGTAGCTTAAATAAGTGACTACTAGTCGCCTACAAAAATCTTTAGTCGGGGACAGCCCTAAGCATTTGACTGGAGAATTGAAGCACACGGGAAACATTAGGGGTGGGGGGGGAATTAGATTCTTAGAAGCATCGCGATGCAGACGTGGACGATTCTGAATCGTTCACAAATGTAAAAAAAAAAAAAAAGTCTAATAATGTAATATTGAAGGAACGCAAAAGGCAGAACTCTAAAGCCCGGAAGTGCAGTGCTGGACAGTCTGTAGCTGAGCGGGAAATCCAAACTCCACCCACTTCGTTAAAAGCTAACATATGGAAAATTGGCATAATTTCATTGTGGCCTTTTTTTTTCATTTTTGCCTGAGACCTGCTTTCTGTATTGTTTTGTTTTGTATGCCGATCTCTTATACGTAGGTTTACTGTACTGCCCTCCACAGTCACAGTGTGTATCAGTGCAATGCCAGTCACAAAAAGTTACATTTTGACTGTGCTCTCTGCAGATGTTCATTTACTTTTTTTGTATAAGCTGTTTTTGATTGTGGTATACAGCAACAATTTCAAGTCATAAGTCTTAGAGTCTTTATTATTTATTTGTGTATTAGAGCAGCTTTGTATGTTACTAATTATCCACAAGCATTATTTTTCCATGAAAGCAGCTGGTACATAATTCGATATTTTTGTATGAAAGCTGTTTGTATTTTGCTACAGCAAAATGTTTATTTATTTTTGGTCTGAAGGATTATATTGCTCATTGCACATGACAGAAGGGATGTTGGTTTGAAGTCTATTATTTTATGTTAGAGATTCAGAATATGCTGAAGTTTGTATTCATTGACTACAAGTATGCTGCTAGTACATACACACATTTCTTTTCCTGTTGGTTCTTTGCAATGTTGGGACATATGCTGGCAAACGCAACCTTACAGGTGACTTGCCAAATCACTTCCATTTGTTTTATTAATAAAAGATATTGGAAGTAAATTCTTTATGGGTATAAATACTTTGCTTTAAAAGTACCAAGTAGTCACACACACACACAAAAAAGATGCATCGATAATTGTTTTAGCATCGCAGCCCTCTGAATCGTAATCTAATCGAATCGTGAGGTGCCTAGAGATTCCCACCCCTAGCAAACATAGTACAGCGTAGAGGCCAGTTTCCTATTCTGCACTGGCAGAAAGGCCTACACACTTCAGCCAGCTGGTTGTCTGCCATGAAGAAATACAAGAAGGGAAATATACAACTTTACACCTTTCAGCATGCCAATGATAATCTTCAACAACCTCAGAATGGCTGTGACCCACATGTTCTGGAAGCCTTCAGCCTAGTGAAACATCTTCACAATGTGTCCTTAATCAACCCTTAGGCACATTTTCACCTAAAAGCGAGTTTGCTGACCTTCACAGATGTGGCTTGGAGAGCTGGTAGTGAGAGCGGGATGACCTGACAGTGCCTAATGATCTCAGTAGGGGTGGCCCGTCAGGGACTTTCCAATTTCTATTTCTCAACACACTCACCCGTTCCCTCCCTATCATTTCTCATAATTGGACACTGCTCCCTTCCAAACATCAGTTTTGAGGTTTCATCTTGTTGGCTAATAAACTTTTATATCATACTAAGGTGTTTATGACATGTTGTGACACTAAACACCTCTTTTTAATACACTTAATAATACTCTTACATTGGCTTTATTTCAACATAACAGACATTGAACGCATACAGATTCATCCAGAGTTTTTGGCCTAATTGTTAAAGAGATACATCACCCACAACAAGCCGAAATTTTATCATAATTTATTCACCGCATGCTGTTCCAAAGCCATGTGACTCTTTCCTCCATGAAACACAAAAGGAGATTATTGGATAATGTGGACACTCTTTTCCATGCAATAACAATTGAAGAAAAGCTAAAGGTCTCAAGCTTTAAAAAGGATGCAAAAGCACCATAAAAGTGGTCGATCCAATTTTTGATCTGCATTTAAATTCTTCTAGGCTACTATGTAATAACTTTGTGAGGAACAGTCCAAATTTTAGTCATTATTCACTGAAAATCTTGATCAGGTTTAAGAGACTTCAACATAAGCCATTCCTCTGAGTCTGACCTTTTCAATTACATTTTTTCAACCGAATCAATCGTTCACGAATCTCCGGCTCTCCAGTTCAACTGCATTCAACTGTGTATCAATAGTACATAATTTTATTTGTCTTTTCCTCAAGCAAATCTATTTTATGACTTCAGAATACTTGTAATATTGCATGAGTCATAAGGAATTGTTTGTCAAGTTTATTTGTATTAGAAGTTTGAAAGCCTCAGCCCAAATCATTGAAACTGTATGGGCAAGAGCGTCCTTCAAAGAAATCCTCTTTTTATGATCCAAGGAAGAAATACAGGCTTTGAATGACACGAGGACCGAATTTTCATTTTTGAGTGAAGTATTCCTTAAAAGCTGTCCTCACCCACAAGACATTAATATCCAGGAAGTGTTGACAGTTTGCAGAAACTCTGCAAATGGAGTACGCCTTAAACACACACAGATATCCACTAAGGAATCCTCATTCTTAAACATCAGTCGGGGGCCAGGACCACACTATGCATCAAATTCATCTTTTCTGAAAATACCTAGACAGATGACATGATTTATTGGCTAATTTATTGGGTAAGTACATGATTATGACTTTATCCAAGCACACCACAACCAAATAAGCAGCTTGCAGCATTCCAAAGAGGTTTTCTCTACACGATCAACAACCCTCAACCAACCCCAACACACACTCACACACACGCCAATAAACTCTCCTATAGTAATCTTAAAGGTGAAATGTATATAATTGAATGAATACAATTATAAAAAATTTGGCCTGTCAGCGTTAATGCGTTAACGTATGCGATTAATTTAAAACCCTTAACGTGTTAAGCAAATAACGCAAGTAACTTACTGAAGCACGTGCAATTGTGTCATTAACGTGGCTTGCACATTCATGATCTTAGAAGTCGGGAGTTTATCACACTACTCTCTTTCTAATGTAAAGAAAACCAGGCTGACTACATCAGAGATGGCAGAGAGAACAGTGACTCGCAGCCAGTTTTCAGTGAATTATTCATTAAAGTGTGTTTCGCTTTAAAACACATCCTCTGTCATGTTCTGTGATTGTTTCTGAAGTGCACAAGCCCTCATGCATCGCGCTGTGTGAAATACAGACTGAACGGAAAGTCAAAACATCCTAAGCCAGATGACATGTATGTTGATGTATGTTGCTATGTTTAGTAATTCTGAATGGATTTGTGTATTGTATTAGGCATATGCGGTCAGGTCAAGGTGATTTATTTTGGCATCTCCAAGTGGTTCTGTTCAGTATTGTAACTTGCCTAAAATGTAGACAAGCTCTTTGCTGATGCACTGTACACATACTATACATTGAATACTAAAAAAATATTTTTTCTTCATGTGTGCTTTGGTGTGCATGCATTTATGAATTATTTGGACTCCTTATAACATTTGGTTATTTGCTGTCATTTTGAAGTCTCCAAATGTCCTTTTTGTTTTTGGAAAGACACTTAAATTTACCTTATGAACCACCCTTCAATCTGATTGTTCATTTTGCTGGATGAGCAAATGATGGCAAAATGAACGTGTTAAACAAGATGGTGTATGTCTAATTTTACGACAAGTGTGCAATTAATCGCGATTAATCACACAAAAAGGTGCAATTACATTTTTTTATAAGTCCTATAAGAAAATATAATCATCAAAAATAATTACATATTAGCAATAGTCCTGGCCACAAACTCATACCATTACTTGAGCCACTGCTGTCTGTCAATGTCGGACTGGTCAGGATGCACAAACAGAGCAATGTTTCGATAGTGCCACAGTGTTTTCTAAAAAATTAACCTTACCTTCAGTTCTCTTCGCCTATTAAGCAGGGATAGAAGTATTTCAATATCCAAAAAAGCAATATACGTGAAATTATGAATCATCATGAATCACACCAGAATTCTCCTTCCAAACAATGATTACATTTTAAGATGAATGTGAAAAGGAAGTAATGGTTGTGGGAAACATCAAAAATATCTAACATTTCTAGGTTGATTTGAAACGGTTCCCACACTAGTAAACAGCTGGAGTTGGGCTCAGCTGGAATAGCGATTATGGGATGAACATGAACCCTAAGACATCATATAAACTCACCATATGTTCTTAGACCGTAGGATCTGAGGCATATGTCTCATTGACTGGATCTTTCATAATATCTGGGATATATTTTTATACACATATATATATATATAAACAGGTTTCTTCATTTTATTTTGGACCTTTTGCCACTTTCATTGAGTATTTGGCAATAAATGACCAGGGTTTGGCACTAATCTTGCTGTGTGCATGTGTGTACACTTACATAGTACGGGTCTTGGATAATAAGCTGTTTTTCAGGATCGTAGGAGCCGAGCAGCTCAATCTTGGCTTTGCTGTTTTTTATGCTGCTTGCCTTCTTGTTCAGATCTCTGTAAGAAAACCATACACACAGCTTAGATCCTGTGCAGCCAGTGAACTGGTGCATAATCATATCAATGGTGCAATTTCTTAAGTTCTTCCAGATTAATTCAGGAATATGATTTAAGCGCAAATGAAACTTGACAGGATCTGTCTGTTCTTTCTGCAAGTCTCTCAAGACGAAGATGTTGCAACACACACACACACACACGAAAGAAATCGAAAGAAATTATTCATAACACACATAACAACGCCAGGGCACTGATAGCTGGTGTGGTTAATCATGAACGACGAGACTAAACAATAATCACTAGGAATGTACAAAACCATATATCTTCAAACTAGTCTGAAGAAAAAATAAAATATAGATAAATATATTTAAAAAGTGCATCAAATGTACCAAATTTGACTGGTCATTACTGTTTCACTCAGGATGGATATAAGTTTAATCACAAATATTTTATTCTATTGACAGCCTTTTTTATTCAGAAAGGATGTATTAAATTGATATTTAAGACATTTATAACGTTACAAAAGATTTCTATTTAAAATAAATGCTCTGCTTTTTTAACTTTCCATTCATCAAAGAACCACAATTGTTTTAAACATTGTAAAATAAAAATCATAATAATAAAAAAAATCTGCATATCAGAAGGATCATGTGACATGAAAACTGGAGTAATGATGCTGAAAATTCAGCTTTGCATCACAGGAATAAATGACATTTTTAAAATATATTCAAATTGAAAAGTGTCTTTTTAAATTGTAATAATATTTCACAACATTAATGTTTTTATTCAGCATTTTCAACAAAACAAAAAGCCTGGGTAAACATGAGACTTTTTAAAAACATTTTTAAAAATCGTACCGACCCCAAACTTTTGCAAATATATTAAAATTTGAATTTGAAATGCCTTTAAATTTTAGGAAGGGAGTACCTAACCTCACAAGAAGATAACGATATTTGGGGGTCAGTGGCATTAAAAGGTTTGAATGATTATTAAACTAATTAGTCTTTAAAGGAAGGTCTGTATAATTAGGCTGGTTTCAGATTCACCTGACAGTGATTGGATGTGTTTCTTAAGAGATATTCACATAAGATGTCATTTAACAGTCTTAACATTTAAAAACAACTAGACAAAGTACAAAAAAAAACTCAGAAATCTCAAAGAACTTAAACACATTCACACACCTGACACACTTGAGATGAGGTTCAGCATCTTGACCAAGAGTCTCATTAACAGTCTCCAATTCAGAGATCATCCCTTCCAGGTTTGAACCTATGACCTTTATGTAGGATTACCAGCTCAGACCTTTAACCTTTAAGGCACACCACCCATTCACATAATAATGTCAAAATATAGCAGGAAAAATACAACAATTGATGACCTGACATATATTTTCAATCTTGATTAACCCAAGACAGATAATCATCGCTAAAGCATGACTGTGAGATCGCGTCAGTCTGTCGTGCTGAGCAACGGAGAAAAAGCAGAGACCTGGAACCACAGAGAAAAGACAAGGAATCTAAAGAACTCAGTAATCTTCTTAATAAGCACTGGATCTAGCAGGAACATGTGATTCCGACAATACCCCCCCCCCCCCCCCCCTCCCCTAAAAAAAAAAGACCTTCCTGCGCCCTTTACTTTATTATACCACTCATGGTACGCCCACAGACTGCTGACAGATCAATGATATAATTCATTCACTTAGTGTTGCTCGAAATCAAACATCATTCTCATGTCAGAAAGGCAAATGCCAAGGGCCTCATTGCTGCTCATCACTTTTGTGCTTGTAAACTCAAAGAGAGGCACACTTTTCTCAAATGCTCAGCAAATGTTCCCTAAAACTGTCCAGTTGAGACCAATAAAACAAAAAAATGCATGGCAGAAACAGGAACACATGGCAGCAAGTAATATAAACAGACAACTTCCTTACTTGAGTGAAAGTCCAGATACTACTGGTCAAATATTACTCCGTTACAAGTAAAAGTACAGAAGTACTCGTTTTAAACATATGTAAGTATCAAAAGTTAAAAGTAAATGTCAATGTATTGTTTTATTATTGTATATCTTTTTTATTTATTTAATATTATTTATTTAGGATCTGTTTTCGTCCATTTTGCCACCAGTTGATTAGTGTTCAATGAAAATTATGGGGAAATAGCTGAACTTCACGACATGTGACCCTACAAGAGTGATTACTGATAGGCTGTCTGTCACCTGCAAAAAACCAATCACATTTCAGAGATGGAAAAAAATCATCCCCTGACTGACGTTACTACTTTCTACTCAAGGACCTTGACAGAAATGTAGTGGAGTAAAAAAAAGTACCATATTTGTCTTTCAAATGTAGTGAAATTAAAGTTAAAGTTTCAAATGTAGTGAAGCAATCTTATTTCGAAAGAAAAAATAATACTCAGGTAAAGTACAGATACTCAAAGGGTACATAAGTACAGTGCTTAAGTAAATGTACTTTGTTACTGTCCACCTCTGAATATAAATAATCGGGGTCTAAAACGTTTTGATCTTGTCCACTTTCAGAGGTAGTAAAAACGCATTAGACCAGATTTCTTTCGCAGTGTAAACTCTCATGTGGTCGAATGCGTACGAACAGCTGCAAAAGATCCACCTACTGACCGAATGTGCAAACATTATGGGAAGTGCGCTAGCCAGACGGGATTTAAAACTTAGTCGGCTGAAGACCCAAGTTTAGCACAATTTTCTCTCACGATTCCTGATTTCTAACACACACTCACATCAGTTTGTGTAGTCTTGTGGCTGTCAGAGCAGAAACTAAAGTTGCTGCTCTCTGTATGTTTCTCCGTCGTCTCTGGACACGTTCATATGTAAATTGTGCAATCTTATTTCGTCCATTAGATCGAAAGATCTAAAAAAAGCCCACAGACCCTCACCTTGAAGAAATCAGGACAGAAGAGGTCGAAAGTGGACAAAAGAGACGGATTAAAACACCAGGTGTAAACAGGAATGTCTCCCTCGTCTACTTCTGAACAGATCGACCAAAACGCATCTTAATACCAGATGTAAACGGCCATAATTACTGAGACAAGCATGTAACTGACAGTATCAAAAACAGGCAGCCAGACAGAGCTTGAGCCACACGGTCTCACATCGCACCCATCTGTTTTATAAAGAGAAGCACGCAGAGGTGAGCGTGGTTGATCATATATAGGACTTAGGGGTGGAACGGTACATGTATTCGTATCGAACCGAAACGGTACGGGCGTCATGGTTCGGTGCACGAATTTACACGGAGAATACACGGTATAAAAATAAATAAAACTCGCGTGCAAATTAATTAATGTAATGCGGAACTACTATTGGATACGCGGGTTCTTTAGGGACACATAATCTGTACCATCGGCTTAGCTCTGAACGCGCGTTCACTTCAAACATTGGCTTTATACGCGCGTCCTATTCGCTTTGGACTGGCGTCGAACTAGACGCGAATTTGACGGTCTATTCGCGTTTGGTGTGACCGCACAATGAACAGGCTGCGATGTCAAGATTGCAATGCTCTGTGTGTGTGTGTGTGCGCGAGAGAGAGTCGCGGGCGCGATCGAACTCTGTGTGTGTTTGTGTGAGTGAGTGTGTGTAAGAGAGAGAGAGAGAGAGAGAGAGAGAGAGAGAGAGAGAGAGAGAGAGAGAGAGAGAGAGAGAGAGAGAGAGAGAGAGAGAGAGAGAGAGAGAGAGAGAGAGAGAGAGAGGGGGGCGCGATTGAACACTGGAAACATAAAAAACATAGGCCTACTCCGTCAATTTGTTCAGATCATTACCTGCAACCTGCAAAGTGTTTACTTATATTTGTGTACATTCGCAATAAAACACAACATTGTGCTTTTTGTCACACTGTAAACTCTTGTCAAACTGTAACTTACAACTGTCACCCAACCAAAATCACACACACACACACTGTTTTAAAAGCAAAACATATTTATCCAACCCCATTTTAAAACAGTCTGTGGGTCCCATCTTTTGGACATTCGTCATATTGCATTGGTTTTCATTTCTTGTCCTCGGAGCACTAATCTTACACATTCTACATTGATTAAAAAAAGAAAATCGAATGTGTTTTTAATGGTAGTATTATTTTATACAGAAATCAATTATTTATAATTCAGATGAGAATAATGTTACATTGTCAATTAATAATGTTAATTAAAATTAAGGAAAACAAATATATTGATCTGAAATATAGCAAAATAATTTTAAATTAATTACCAAACATATCGCAAGGTCTTCTTGTCTTTTTATTAATTTAAAGCTCCAGTCCGTAACTTTTTTAAGTTAAAAATAATCCAAAATAATTATATTAAAAAAACTTATTCTGCCAGTGGTCAAAACTATCTGCTTGCCATAGCTAGATTCAAAACGGTTAGCTTGTAATAATAATCTTAATTCCAGTGGTACTGGTGGGTTTCCGTGGGAAATTCGAGCATGTCTTTGCGTCATTACGTCACACCCGTACACATAAAGGAGTTTCGGCTAGCCGGCTATACTGTGCGTGACGAGATGTTTAGATGTATAGGCTTTTCTCGCAGCACTTTACATAATTAAACTTATGGCATCCAGAAAGATCCAAACAACAATCATCAGTGTCAACTGGAGATTCAGCAGTTATAAAACCCAAAAGACTTCATACTTCAGATTTAAGGTGGCTAGAGAAATAGAAAGAAACCGTCTCATGCGAACGCAAGGATTTAAACATCGGCGGGGCTTTTGAAAAGTGCGTGAACTCTGTGTTTTGAAGGGGTTCAAAACGGAAGAAGAGACGGCTTTTTTCTGCTGAACAAGTAAGACCTTTCAATAGTTCAATCGTGTAACAGTACGTTTTCTTAATTCACACAGTTATGGAGTTTCCTTTGTTGTGCCTTTCTCGTTTTGCTATTATGGAGAATATGAATTCTGAACTACGCAGGTAGCTGCTAACCATAAAACACATTAAATTTAACATTAGTCACGCAATGCTGATGTTGTTAACATGAACAATTTGAGAACAAAGTAGGCTATAATTTGCACGGTTGCTGTAAATCGCGTTGATTAAATCTAACGAAGCTTATCATGTCGAATGCTTTTCCCCCCTTAGTTGGTCAGAACAAAAATGGATTTTACTTACTTGTTCAGAAGATATTTTCTTATGAAAATTCTTATGTTGGTCAAACTTTCAAAAAGTGAATCTGTGATTCTGTATGACAGTATCCACTGTAATCCACACAGCACGGTGACTGACAGCACCACTCGCCTCAAAGCACTGTGTTCATCCGCGCTGTTTCATGCCGATTTACAACCCACGTAAAGATGATAATTCCGCGAATCACTGCAGTTACAGATTTCGAACAGAGAGATGGCGACAAAGAGGAAAAGATACGGACTGCAGCTTTAATTAGTAAACGAATTATATAAAACTATTGTCAGTGCACTAAAAATAAACTGGTTCTATGCCTTTATTAATAAAACGTATTTAAAAAATACAATGCCTTCTGCATTTTTGTTTTGCTTTTCCCTCCATTGTACCGAAATCGTACCGAATCGTGATGTCTGAACCGAGGTATGAACCGAACCGTGACTTCTGTGTACCGTTCCACCCCTACAGGATTGATCATTTAAAGGCCATCCATGGTCGGCCAATCTCTTTTGCTTTGCAGAGCTGGTGAGAGGAATCCAGATAGTGTGATCATACTGTAACTGTGTATATATACATAAGCACATATCTAACTTTATATATGCACACAGACATACACTCACCGGCCACTTTATTAGGTACCCCATGCTAGTAATGGGTTGGACCCCCTTTTGCCTTCAGAACTGCCTCAATTCTTCGTGGCATAGATTCAACAAGGTGCTGGAAGCATTCCTCAGGGAGTTTGGTCCATATTGACATGATGGCATCACACAGTTGCCGCAGATTTGTCGGCTGCACATCCATGATGCGAATCTCCCGTTCCACCACATCCCAAAGATGCTCTATTGGGTTGAGATCTGGTGACTGTGGAGGCCATTTTAGTACAGTGAACTCATTGTCATGTTCAAGAAACCAATTTGAAATGATTAGAGCTTTGTGACATGGTGGAAGTAGCCATCAGAGGATGGGTACATGGTGGCCATAAAGGGATGGACATGGTCAGAAACAATGCTCAGGTAGGCCGTGGCATTTAAACGATGCCCAATTGGCACTAAGGGGCCTAAAGTGTGCCAGGAAAACATCCCCCACACCATTACACCACCACCACCAGCCTGCACAGTGGTAACAAGGCATGATGGTTCCATGTTCTCATTCTGTTTACGCCAAATTCTGACTCTAACATCTGAATGTCTCAACAGAAATCGAGACTCATCAGACCAGGCAACATTTTTCCAGTCTTCAACTGTTCAATTTTGGTGAGCTCTTGCAAATTGTAGCCTCTTTTTCCTATTTGTAGTGGAGATGAGTGGTACCCGGTGGAGTCTTCTGCTGTTGTAGCCCATCCGCCTCAGGTTGTGCGTGTTGTGGCTTCACAAATGCTTTGCTGCATACCTCGGTTGTAACGAGTGGTTATTTCAGTCACTGTTGCCCTTCTATCAGCTCGAACCAGTCTGGCCATTCTCCTCTGACCTCTGGCATCAACAAGGCATTTCCGCCCACAGAACTGCCGCTCACTGGATGTTTTTTCTTTTTCGGACCATTCTCTGTAAACCCTAGAGATGGTTGTGCGTGAAAATCCTAGTAGATTAGCAGTTTCTGAAATACTCAGACCAGCCCTTCTGGCACCAACAATCATGCCACGTTCAAAGTCACTCAAATCACCTTTCTTCCCCCTACTGATGCTCGGTTTGAACTGCAGGAGATTGTCTTGACCATGTCTACATGCCTAAATGCACTGAGTTGCCGCCATGTGATTGGCTGCTTAGAAATTAAGTGTTAACGAGCAGTTGGACAGGTGTACCTAATAAAGTGGCCGGTGAGTGTACATACCATATACATTCATAGGTAATGTTTTTTGAGAGTGGGGTGAGGGTGTCATATCTTACATAAGGTATCAGAAAAGCCAGATTAGGATCCCACCACCAAAATCCCAATTGAACCCCTGCACATACCTCAAGTTGCTATCGTCCATGCAGAGGATGTGGTCAAAAGTCATGAAGTCATCTTTGGTGACCTAACAAACAGAAAGACTGTATAAGTAACATATGTAACACTTCATTCACATTGGGTTTCAGCCCACAGCCACCCCCCTCTCTAATTCTTCCTGTCTTACACCAAAAGAGGCAAATATGCAGCCAAAAGAGCACGTTGCTGGCTTGGACAATTTCCAGGGAACATAAGCAAAAGGCCAGAGAGCGAGTAGACGTGCCGTCTTTGCCTGTTCGAACATTCGCTCCCATCACTCAAGACATGGAGGTAAGAAATGAATCAAAGCACATCTGTGGCTGCATATATATGTGTGCATATATTGAGCAAGAACACATTATTCATCTGGGATGCCACTGCACAGAGTGAGCCATAATAAAAATCTATGTTTCCAATTTACAAAAACAACAAAGAGCAAAAACTTGACATCATGAACAACTCATACGTGTGTGTGTGGGGGGGGTTGCTAGAAACGCCTGTTTGGCTACATGTGTTTCCTTGTATAATTGGGGGCTGTTGATTTGTGTGAGGTCAACGGGACAGAGATGTCTTTAGTGTGAGCTCAGCTCTGTACAGCCCCGTATGAACCTGACCTCTAAAGGCCGAGCTAAAGCTTGCCCACATGACTGGAATATCTGACTGACAGCTGGAAAATGTGGGTGGAAAGCACGCGAGTTTGCAGTTTCTCTTAATAATAGGTCAGTAATAGGCCAGATCATGTATATTTCAGGCAAAGTGATACAGCAGTGAACTTATGTCTGAGAGGTTTCAATGAAGCCATATAGGTTGTGATGCTTCCAGGCCTAGCACCAGTAGCAAAATCAGAGACCTAGAGAAATCTGTGATTTCGCAAAGTATTTAAAAAAGCATTTTGCTCTGATGTGAACATAACAGCAGGGTCACCAAATCTGACAACACAGCATTAGAGGTTACCGAAATCCAGATTTTTTAATAAAAAAATGTTACCAATAATTATTCGTTTTTATTAACGTTTAATGCATAAATAATCAAAATGGTAAAACACAGAGAAAATGTACAATCATAATGAGAGAGAAACAATAACATCTCATACAGCTTGAAGTAAATTTATTTGTTTTACCGCACCTCTCACTAGACGCGACTGTTTATTTACCGTGCTCACCATAATGTGAACAAGGGCAAGGTGCGCTCTCGTGCGAACATTTAATTGTTAATGAAATCTTGTCACAGATCACAGATTCTCTAGGTCACAGATTTCTGCACCGTTTCCTAGGCTTAGACTTACTGTTGTCACACTCCTCAGCTAGTACAGCCACTTTATTTGCCCTATCTGCCTGAAAGAAACTAAATTAAGTCATTTATATTTAAGCAATAGGCTATCACACGAGCAAGAGCGCTGTTGTTCCAAATATCAACAAGGAATTTCATATATTAAGACCAACTGCAAGTGTGACGTTTTTATACAACAGTTAAATAGATAACTTAACATCGAGTAACTTACGTTTGAGTCACAATATTTTGAGTTAGAGAATCACTTGTTGCCACCTACTGGCGAAACTTAGTAAAATGCACACATAGTAACAGAAAAATCCCCACCACTTGAGAAAAAAGCCTTTGGCCTGGTTTCACAGACAGGGTTTAGATTAAGCCAAGATTAGGCCTTAGTTCAATTAGGAGATACAAGTAGATTTTATAAACATGCCTTAGAAAAAAACATTACTTGTGTGTGCGTCTCGAGACAAAAGAATAGCACTGACATATTTTTTAACATATGTCAGTGCAAGTTGCTTTCAGTTAAAACTGCTCAAACATGCATTTAAAACAGCTCAAACATGCATTTTAGTCTGTGACTAGGCTTAAAGGGGTCATATAATGCCATTTTTATACAAGTTAATATGATTCTTTAGGGTCTAAATAACATTTTTGTAATATACTTTGATTCAAAATTCTCATTAGTATTGTAAGAAAGAACCCATTTTACCTGGTCAAAAACAGCTGTTTTCAGGACGCCGTTTAAGTGCATGTGTCTTTAAATGATAATGATAATGACTCCGCCCCTCTGTTCTGCGGGCGTTTTGACAACACACGCGGAGTCTCTGAGGACACATCTGTGCAACCATATAGGTTTGAACCGGAGTTGGACCCGGAACAAGGACGTTTCTGAATGGTTGGTTAACGTAATGTCACTTTGATCTATCTTTGTATGCACTGGCAGGGTAGAGTAGTGAGATACGAACGCTAAGTGTTTACTGATGTATACGTTAGTTCATTGACAGATTGATGTTACAGCTAATGGTCATGAAAAACTTTTTTTTCGCTATGATGACAGCTCGCTCAGGCCAGGTCTGTGTTGAAACGCTGCTGTCAATCAACAATCGTGGGAGGGGCTTCCGAGCGTGTGACGTCACACGGTCGAACGGCTCGTTTTGAGACAGGTGAAAACATATAAGGAGATAAAAAAAAAACACTGGATGGATTTTTATCATTATATGATGGTTGTGTACAGGCACTGCCAACACACATTTCAGTACAATCAACTTGTAAAAGTGCATGTACCATTATATGACCCCTTTAAGCCTTGTCTGTGAAAACGGGAGTTTATGTTTGTTTGTGGGACCCGCCCAGCAACAGCACCAGTACCGCTTCCCGGGAAAGAAGGTTCGTTATTTTTAATTGATCTCTTTTTGATTTATATATGTGCTATGAAAGATATGCTTGTGATACATTATGGACCAAACGTGTTTTATCACAACACACACCAAACACTATTTGGAAGCCAATTCAAAACAACAAACTCTGTGGAGAATTTCCTCAAGAAATGTACAAGATAGATGAAATATGTCAGAAAACACAGAGGGAGATGGAGAACAGGGGTCAACAGCAGATAGGCAGTCACGGATGCCTGTCAAAATCAATTTATAGGCAAGAAGTTAAAAATAAAGAAGAAAGATAAAACATCTACGGTGTGAGACAAAGATAAAGTGCTTTTGGCTGTAAATTACGATTAGAGAATGCTCACACCAGTTCTCCTGCCAAAACTGGCTTTAGTTGTGTATCTGCAAGGTTTCCGTGTGAGTGACACTGACTGAAGTTGGTGAAATTTTGATAAATGTGTCATTAACATCGTATTGTACAACAGTACTGTGCTGAAAGCTTCTTGCACTCTTTCTCCTCCATCTATCCACCTTATTTTTAATGTAAGAGCGTTAACTTGAATGTGCAAGGCTTCCAGCGTCATACGCTTCCAGTTATATTGGCTGTACTAAAACGTCTGTTATGCTGCTTTATATTGCAAACTGTTATTGTTATCATGGTATTTTATTTTGTTGTCGTTCTCATTAACACACTGGTTTGTAGTGCAAATAATTCAATGTTAATTCCTCCAATTATTTACCTATACCAGAAATCTCACACATTCAAAGAAAACAGCATACGTCCGCGTTGCAAAATAAGGTGGATCTCACATGTACAGACAAAATCCCACATCTGCAGTACCTGTCGTGCCCTGTGATCTGTCTCTATGTCATGTTTCCTGAGGCAGGCCAGACCACGGGCGTCAGGAGCGCTGCCAATATTCCAATCTGAGGTGGCACCAGAGTCTATAACCCACTGTAACACACAGAGAACACGGTTCTAAGTGCTATTCAGGACCCCGCCGTACCTGCCGCGCCACGTGCCTCATGGACACGTCGTGTTTCTTCATGCAGGCCTGGCCGCGGTGATCCGGGGGGTTTCCGATCTCATAGGTGGACGTGGCGGCACTGTCTATTCTCCACTGAAGACACACATACACACAGCACTGATGATGATGAAATTATACACGCAAACAGAACAGAACATAAGAATAGCATTTATCTGAATAACTAGGTCCATATATACTTTATGGTACTACATGAACAATGTTGGCCAAGTATTCTTTTTTGAATATTTCTGGCCTTAAACTTTAAGGCTGGAATGCATCTGAAACCATTTCTTTGGATTTCGTCTTTTGACTCTTGTTAAACTTTCTGAACAGCAAAATGTCATGTTTGTCCCTTGTGCAATCTCAGTAATAAAGTCAAATCTCCATATAAGCAAGTGTATCTGGCAAACAAAAATAATTATGACACTGATACACTCATCCAAAGGGTAGATGAGGCTAAAAGTACTTCAGAGATTTTGCTCTGGAGTGCCATTGTCACTTTGTTACATACCTGCTAGAACTTCAAGACCAGATACATTGCATTCATCCAGAAGATGATGCACTGTTTCAATCTATTCACTGAAGCACATGCGATTATTTCTAGTCTTTGTAAGCTAGACCAAATATTGATACATCATTCAATAAAAGCATCATCACAAGCAGCGACATACCTTGTCCACCACCCCACTGTCTGTGGCCATCTTCCTGAAAACAGCCTCAGCGATTGGGGATCTGCAAATATTCCCTGGGTATTGAGGAAAGGGAAGAATTTTATTGCTTTAGTAGCCATGTGTATTACATGTGATCAATTTCCATATACACAAACATGTACAAAATGTATCACATCATCATCATTACTCCACTCTTCAGTGTCACACGATCCTTCAGAAATCATTCTAATATGCTGATTTGATGCTCAAGAAACATTTCTTCTTATTAACAATGTTGAAAACAGTTGTGCTGTTTTATATTTTTGTGGAAACCGTGACATTTCTTTTTCAGGATTCTTCGATTATTAGAAAGAGCAGAAATATTAGTCTTTACTTTAACACAATTGAACACATTCTTGCCTAATTGAAGTATTAATTTCTTCAAAAAATATATAAATATTTCTGACACCAAACTTTTGACAGTATTGTATACTTTTTTATTGTATGTAACGTTAGGCTAGCCTACTATCCTTGATTACTTGCCATAAAATATAAAATAGCCAAATAAATACATAAATAAATGAATAAAATCCGTAGACAACAAAGCATAGAATCTTATGCAAACTGTAAAGTGGATAATAAAAATGACCCTCATAACGTTAAGAAAATGTGTAAACCTTAGTAAATGGGTTAGTTTATGTTTTGAGCATGACTCACCCCGGGAAAGTAAAAAAAAAAGCCTAAACTATGTTTAAGAGAATACACATACGGGTGATCATTGCTGAAAATATACATACAGTATAGATTTAAGCGCCAACATTAACACGAAGTGTTTATTAATGTCTGAATAAATGAGATTTGCGTGTGATTGCATCAGTATGCAGATACTATACGGCTCATGATTCATTCACTGAAAGAGGCCAGTGAAAGAGTGATCATCGATTGAACGGTGATGAAGGTTTGACTTATCAGCTTCCCGTCTAAACATCACAAGTTAGAGAAGGTTTGGCGATATTTTATAATCTTTCTTACCCAAGCACACGAATAACACCGACCTTCCACCGGGAGCCGCCATATTGGTTACTTGAGGGTTGCCCGAATTTCCGCCTGTACGAAATTCAACAACAAAAAAGGCCTATCACGTAGGCCTATTTTTTTGCAGCCTATTTACACAGTAAAGGCACCACAAAGGTTACATCTAAAGTGCCATCACACAAAGTTTCCAGAGCATAGTTCTGAGAAAATGTCTTGTGTTCTGGTTTGCCAGTATGCCTAAGCTGCACAATAATGATGAAGAAACTTTTCCCTGGTGTCTTTTCAGGCTTGCATAAGCTTAATCAGTCCCGATTCTATTATTGGTATCACTATCCCGAGGAATGGCATTTACAGATCTAGGTGGTCAGGTTGTAGGAAAGTCCTGTTTTCCAGACCATATTTAGAGCAAGTTTAGATTGAAGTATTTTTCACTCAGCTGCCCGGCCTACTTAGCCATACTTTCTCTGTTATAAAACCAGATTATACTTAAGTGTATTGATCGTGAACACCAGATGAGTGAATTTACTACACAGCAAAATATATGTGCATGCACATCTGGAAAAGTCAGCATAAGAAACTCAGAGAGCCTATAGGCTATGGATTTGGGCCGATCTATGCAGAAATGTAACACAAATCTATGGAGAGTTGAGTTATGTTATAAGCATACGATGTGGGTTCTTTTACATTATTCTTTTTTACATACATTCATTTGGTAGACACTTTAAAACAAAGCCCCACACAGTGCATTCAATATATACATTTTAACAGTATCTACTAGGAATTAAATCCATGACTTTATCGACATCAGTATGAAAGTATATATATAGGCTATTCAATAAAAACATAAACACTAAGTACATTCACAGTAAGAATGTCTGCCCTTGTCGATGCAACTTTCATCTGCAAGAAAAAAATCTCCTGAATAGAAAATAATACATTTTTAACACAAGTACTTTACGTGTTCATGAAAAAATATATAGGCCTATGTCTAAGTCCATTCAAGAACATAAAAATAAAAAAGCAATGAAAAATAAGAAAAAGTTGATTTTAAAAATGGATTAAAGATATAAAGAATAATTTGAACAATCCCTCTCTGTGTTAAATGTGTTGTATGGGAAATTTGATAAATAATTGGTATTTTTATAAGCCTACACTACCGGTCAATATATATATGTTTTTTTTTTCTGAAAGAAATTCTTTTTTCTTTTTTTTTTGCAACTATACATTGAATTGATCAAAAGTGACTTTAATAATGTTACAAAAAATATTTCAAATAAATGCTATTCTTTTGAACTTCCTATCCATCAGAGAATCCTGATTTGTTTTAATCACATTTTCAACATAAATTGGTGGGAATTGGTCAATTGGGACAATTGGTTTGGAACAATCAGAATATTATCCAGTTCCATAAATGGAAAACAGTTATTTAAAATTGTAATCAAATTTCACAATATGTTTTACTGTATTTTTGATCAGATAAATGCAGTGGTGAGCATAAGAGACTTCTTTCAAAAACATTAAAAAACCCAAAACCGAACAGGTGAGTGGGATTCCAATGCATAGTAAAAAGATAACAATTTGGAGATAAATGTCAGTATTTGTATTTCTACAGGTATATCAGCTTTCCTTCTTTGGCTTTGATGCATAACACTGTCAAAGAGAATGACCGGTGAGAGATATAATGAAAACCATATTCCAGGGTCAGTGACTCAGGCAGTGCCAAACTTTAAGGGAGGTGATGTATGAACTTACTGAGAAATCCAGCAAAGCTTCTCTGTACAACAACAAAATTGATATCCATTGACATAGTCATTCTGTTTTGACTGAACAGAATGAATATGCAGCACAACTTTCCCCCAAACTTTTAGTGTTAGCACACAAGCCACAGATATTAATCTATACATCTTGATCTCTGCAGCGTATACATGCTGTATTCACAAATTCAAATTCAGCTGGTTTGCAGCTGCTCCGCACACAAATCTTCTTAAGGTTTACTTCTCGATAATGAACTTTCATTAATTATGTCTTCACATTAACATCCTTAGCCTTGCATACGGACACAATATGCTGTCTTCAGGAAATGCCTGTCAGATTTGAGTAAATTAAAAAAATTGATTCCCAATTTGAACTTTTCTTGTCTGCACTTCATCCACTTAAATTGTAAGTGAACTAAAAAAAAAAGAAAAAAAAAGATGATGATAATTTGGTCATGTGCACATCACTGACGCATTATTCAAGACATAAATTGTAAGGTTGTTGAGAGACACAATCATAACTCACTCCAGACCTAAATGATTAACATTGGAGGTCATGCAACCACATTGCTGTTTCCTATCAGAAATCATGTCTGGAATCATTCATATTTGTTCAGAAAAACCTTGAACAATCCTTAGGTGTGGAAGTGGAACGGACATTTTGCTTTGTGAGATGTGTAAACAAAGTTAGAAGTTTGTGGTTTTGGTTGTAATTTGTCCTGTTGCGTTTTTACATGTTAAAATTCCTATTTGATGAAAAGGGCTCTGTGTTTTTGGAGTAACTCTCACTGTGGGCTTTAGGATTTGCATACCACTATCAATGTGTTGACTGAGTCTGTATACAATTATTGTTATTAAGGGTTGTAGGTGATTCAGCATGCATGAATATTTAAAAATGTCCATGTGTTTCAGACCAGACTGACATGATAATGGGTCTCACTCTATATCTCATCTGGATCCACAATTTTGGAAGCTCTGAGGTCAGAGAAGCCATATATTGGTTTTAGTGTACTGCTATTACCCTGGGTACTTTCCAGCTTACTGCACAGCAGGCCCCTTGAAACACATAAATTACATCCGCACAAATTCCTGGTTCTGACTTGGTTGAGTTAAGAAATGAATTCTGGTCTTCACTTAAGTTGCTTTCTGAAGTCAGCATTTTGCACATTGAGCAATGCACAAACACTCCACAGGAATCCAGCCAGGGAAAAGTCTTGCCAGGGTGTTGATATGAGGTTGTTATAGTGGTTTTTGATGTGTTGCTATGCGGTTGCTAGGGTGGTTGCTTACTGGCCATGAGTTGTTTTAGTTGTTTTATTGTTTGCAGGTGAAAATCATAGACTGACGGCTTAGGAAAGTCAGAGCAACTAGAAGTTATTTTATTGATTCAGAAATTAAAGGTCATCAAGTGTGCACATCATGCGATATCTCGTGCGCGCGCGCACACACACACACAGAGACACACAGACACAGACACACACAGACACACACACACAGTACATACCGGTAGTCTCCACTAGTCTGCTGCCATCTACTGGTTTTATGGAGATCCTGCATTCATCTAGATCTCCCGAATGTCTTTCTGCCATTTATCTAATTTTGTAGAATGTTTTTAATTAGAATAGGAGTGTAAGCCAGTTACATTTTATGTGTAAGTGCATGTGTTGCTTCTTTTCATTATACTGACACATGATATATAACACTTTTCAGTCCCACACACGATATACACCAAACAAAAGTTCAGCAAGCCAGATCTGTCAAAAAACGTTTTCCATTGTTTGACTTTGACTCTACAATCCCGCACAAAAGGGGGAAATATGATTGAATCAGGCCACACAATGCATAAACAGATGTTGAGGGAAAAAACAAGAATCAAGTCAAGTATGATATCCTTTAAAAATGTTGTCACAAAAGATCGATGAACTGTACTTTTTTCCCTCCATGGGAAATATTCCCGGTACACTGCTACTTTTAAATTTAAGGCAGGCAGCTACTTTTTTTTTTTTTTTACAGTATATGCCTAGTTCCAGTCTCCCCTGAATTCGTTAACTGTTTAATTTATTCTCATACAATATTCCTAAAGAGAGTTGAAAAAACATATTTGCAAGCCCTTATTTGGAGCCGTTAAGTTACATTTAACGTGTCCTGACAGTATTCCTCACCTTTACATCCCTCGTGTCGAGCTCGCGCTGCCTTGACCTGTTATAGTGGGTGGAGTAAGTGAGTATGAACAGGTAAAGGTGTGCGTCAGTACTGTGCGTTTTCGTCAGCTTATACTATATCGGACCCCTCAACACATTTTGCAACAGTTGCGACACAGTTGTTGTGGATTTAACACAATACTAATCTAGACTGGATAATGCTGAAGAAAACGCAAGGCACGGCCGACGTGGACGCGTCGCGCATTCTTGTGAAGGGGCCCGAGTTTTTGAGAAGACAGATGGAGCGAGAAAGCGAGGCGAATAAAGGACGAGTCAGTGCGGTGGAGAGGCTGGCAGCCACTAAACCTCAATATGTAAAAAGCCAACATGTGGTCAGCATCGGGTCTGCCTCCGTAAGCAGTCAAGGGTCTTCAAACGGGCACGGTTCCCCCGCAAATGTTGGTGTTAAGGACATACCGTCGCCTGAAGAAGACAGCAATGTGGTAAGACGTAGCAGCTCGAAGAAACGACCGGACTCGATTTTATTATACAGACAGAAGTGTGAACTCATGAGAGGATTGCCTGGCGGGAGGAGATTGAATAAAAAGTCATTATTCTCTCTTAAAGACAAGAAAAACGCATTTTCCGAGGCGCGTGAATCTGACGTTGAGGTAAACGACAGAAAAGAGCGTGCGCTTTGCGCCACACGTGAGGACTGCGTGAAAGAGTCCACTTTACCCATGCCAGGACCTCCTCCTCACAGGATAGTCACTAGAACCCAAGAGCAGGAGCATAAGAGCCGGAGAGGGGTGGCGCGCTCCAGCTCTGACATCAGCTCACGCTATTCGAAAAACTTCGCGGACTTTGACGTATTCTTCAAATTCTGCGGGCTCGAGGGTGACGTGATTGATTCCATGGGCAAAGAGAACTTTTCCGCGCGCTCTGACGACCTCAGCTCCAGAATCCGGAGCATCAGCGTCTCGACGTCAGATGACGCATTCTCGAGGAGCAGCGACGGCCTGCATGAGGGGGAATTGCTGGAGACTGTCCGTCAAGGGTTGTCAGTTGTCGAGCGCAACGCTCGGATCATCAAGTGGCTTTACAGCTGCAGAAATGCAGCAGAGTCGGGAAAGGTTCTTCGAGATCTGGATTAATGGGTCATAGCTGCAAACGTTTTTTTTTTTTTTTTTTTTTTTGCTCAACGCATATTGTCACTTGATTTAAAATGCTACTTGATTTAAAAAATACTAGCTTGGCCTATGTGACATCCCTTAACTGTTACCATTAGAATTAGAAAAAAAAAGAGTTTTAGAACGTTTCAGCCAACCAGAAAACTAGCAACCATGTTCTAAAAATAAAGGTTCCAAAAGGGTTTTTGCAGAGATGCCATTGAAGAACCGTTTTGGGTTCCCTAAAGAACCGTTCAGTGTTCATTTCTTAAAGTAAATTTTTTTTAGTTGGCTATGCAGAAAGAACCATTTTTTTACTATAAAGAACATTTTGTGCAATTGAAAGGTTTCATGGATGTTAAAGGTTCTTCGTGGAACCATCAATGTCTACACGGGACCTTTATTTTTAGGAGTGTATATATGCCTGGCTGATTTGGCTGACATGTTCATTCCATTCATGTTCAACTAATCGGCTAAATCACCAATTCTAAAAATTGAATTCTTAAAGGGTTTTAGGATGTTATTTCCCCATTTGTGATGGGTAAAATAAGGTCTGATAAACATTTTTGTTTTACTACATAAATTACACACACCTACAGTTGGAAGCCACTGTTCTTTGAAAACATAACAAATTGCTATATAAGGACTAGAACGGTTTTGTCAAGCATTTACACAACTTTGTAGTTGTAGTCTTTAGTTAGCAGCTTGTTAGCAGACTGTGTGTAATTTCAATTGACATGAACATTTCTTAAATGCTAAACCTTTTGTACTGTATATATACCAGTACTTGATCCTGGTTAATTACTGTATCTACCTGTCACTTGATTTTATAATATATAAAAGTTGTGTTTTTATATTCCATTGCAGTTTATTTTCGTTGAATTCTGTGAAAACTGCCTTTGCACAGTTTACAGATAACAATTGTCGTTTAAGTCAAACGGGCCATGATACAAGCCAGTCAGGAATGCAGAAGGGACCTGGTCTGGAGTATGGAAAGATATGGTTTCACACAAGCAGTTTTGTCCATTGTTGCGTAACAGCGGAAGCGATGGACAAAAAGCAAGTACATTCACATCCAATGTGGGTGTGTATAATTAGTGCCGCACTGTCACTCAAGTTCAAAGATTAGGTGTCTGTTTATCCTGCCTTAATACTGACTGTCTACTCATGTCTTCCCTGACTCACAATGCCTTGTAAATAGTTTAAAGTGTTTTGTGTTTGAAGTAACTTGATAAGGTGTGTGTGCACTGTTGAGTCAAACAACCTTACACAATTATGTAAAAATGCTGTGTAAATATGAATACCAGTCAGTATAAAATCTTACTTTCTTACTTTTCTAGCACTGTTATCTAAGAGTGTATGCAGTTTACTTTTGGATAAGTTATAGTTTAATGCAGGTCTAGTAATTTAATTATCATAAATGCATATTTATAATGATAAAAAAAACTTTAAAACGCATTTTATGAATGTTAACTAACTGAACCTTCTTTTCATCATTTTGCACATGACTGAACCTTTGGAAAAAAAAAGTCTTCTGTTGAATGCAGTGTTTTCGCATGCACACAAAAACGTACCCCTCTGGCCTCCTAAAGCAGACTATGGCAGGTTAGATCTTGCAGAGGGAGTGTTCGTGGCCTTTACACTACTTTAAATGATTTTGGAAAAGCTGTAATTTTTCAATGCATGTGAGAATTATGCTAATTTTTTAGCTCACTCATTCAACTGTAATCCAAACTGACAAGTTTGTCTGAAACCGCATCAAAAACAAAGATATGACTGTCCTGAGTTTTTGGAATTTGTCTCTGTTGAGATAATCATGAATTACGAAATACTCTTCAAATAGTGTTACAATTTAGCTGTTGTCCATTCTGTTCAAATGATATAGGAGTCAGCCTTATTGGTACAGTTAAAAATGATACCATTCTTCATTGGCAATACACACAAATAAGTTACTTGGTAAATGCATGCAAATGATTATTTATGCAGCATGGATGGACTGTAACTTAGACTTCTCAGCTCGGTTTGGACTTTCATCTAGGTGGGGTTTTTACCTGGCAAAAACATGAGTCACATGTCACAAGGATATCAGAAAGGGCTTTGAGTCAAACCTCTATTACCATAAATTGTTGTCTGTATAGTCATCACCTATGCTGCAAAATCTTGTTGTGAAATTGTTTTGAATTCTGTTCTCCATATAAACATAAAGACATATCCAATTCTGTCATTTGTTGGTAATAGAGTAAACAAGTGAACACAAAGAAAGCATATTGACAAGTGTACAGTATAATGAAGGCAGGTTTTATTTGCAATGTGTTCTCAGGACAAGTTTTTTTTTTCTATGTGTCAGGTGTTGAAAACTATTCAACATTTGAAGTGGATCAAAACCTTTCATCAAAGTTATAAATTTTGAACAATAGCCGTTCTTGTCTTAGGACTTTGATAAACGTTTTTGATCCCCTTCAAATGTTGACTAGCCTACTGTGATTTTTGGGTAAGACTTCAAGGTAAATGAAACTCAAACAAATAGGCTACATAAGTAAATAAATCGAATACAATATAAAAAATGCAGTATAAGTAAATAAGTGTTAAAATACAATAAAGATTTAATTCAACAAACAAAATTACCTTACAAATTAGAAGAACATTTTTACTTTTTCCAGCTGCTGTGCATTTTAATAATTTAATTTTAACTTGATTTTTCTTTTTATATTTTCTCTCATAAAGCTCTTTAGCCTTCTCACTGCAGGCTGAGGGGGTTACACATAAACCTAGCCTATATTATAGGCTACTTATATCCAAAACCAAGCAGTGGAAATGTTTATTTTGTGATGTTATTATCCAACATGATTGGTCAGTCTATTATTCCATCGCTCATTCTATCCATTTCCCTTCCCCCATTACAAAATCAAAACATGACAACATGTGCAACGTCCGTGTCACGTGCAAGAAGCTGCAGAGACAGAGCGCTCGGGATAATTTGGCGAGTGATCGACAGCGTCACGAACCAATCAGCTTGGGAATTCCGGGTAGCAACACAATAAATACAAATACGATGGCCAATCACGATCGACGGGAGGCGTGTCTTACACTCCGCTTTTCTGACTGTTTACTTCCGTCAATATTCAAATAAAAGCAGAAAATTATCACCATAACAAAGGAATCACTGTAAGTAAAGTTAAATATACGTCCGTTATCAATGCAAATACATGACTTTGCGCGTAAAACAGCAATAGAGGTAGAGATTTAAGCTGTCTTTAGTGTTTTATCGACGTTTAGAAAGATACGGTTCTTGGCAGGCTTTGCATTTGAGAAAATTTGTTGACAGTAACGTAGGCTGCTAGTTGGTACAGAAGCCAGAGTTTAAATGCAATTTAAAAATTAATATCAAAATTGAAAATGTTTGTTTTTTTCAAAGATAATGTTGTACATCAAGATTGTGAAATAAGTCTTTTTAGAATGACTGTTATTGTGTGTTGTCAGATCAGATCACAAGAGTCTCTTGTATTCTGGTTTTTGGAGCAGGTGGAAGAAGATGCCTTTCTTGGGCCAAGACTGGAGATCACCAGGCTGGAGCTGGATCAAAACTGAGGATGGCTGGAAACGCTTTGAATATTTCAGCCACAACTTGGGAGATAACATCAATGAACTTGGCTTGGAAGAGTAAGAAATGCTATGAAATAAATCCATATAATGTGGAGTGATTGTTGGATCTTGATCTAGGGGTGATAGTTTTGGGGTTCAAACCTGCAACCTTTCACCTTAAAGCACCTCCGAGCTTTAACCACAAGGCTACACCACCCAAAGAAAGCATTGAGGAACAAACTAAAAAGGAAGTGTGTATGCGTCATGTGTGGGAAGTCAGGTATCCGTGTTTAGAAATGTGTTATTATTGTTACCGCCTGTGGTTATTGTCTGGAGTAGTGAAGAACAGACTCGTTTTGTGTGTATTCAGACACAAAATACTGATACGATCCTTAGTCTGACCGTGCTGTCATGGAAACCGACCTGAGGTTGGTCAGACTGAGGAAACGTCCGTGGTTGTCTGGTTTCTGCTATGTGGGGACCCAAGTAGTTGTTTGGATAGCTTTAGTGTGAATCTGCATCGTATGTCTGTGTGTTAAATTTCACTAGACGATAGACCGAACACTCACCTGTGTGCGTTGTGTAAGCTAAAACGTCTTCAGATCTTTAGGACTCGCCTCATTCACCAATATTTGGATTAATAATTAAAAAGAACTTGCATTGGCTTGTTTATTTGCACTAGGTTTTATTGTATTCTCTGTCAGGTTTATGTCTACTAAATAGTACTCCTAGCAGCATCTAAATTGCAAAGTCTAATGGTCTAAATGCATGCTTGCCATCTGTTGATCACATGATATAATACTTTTTGTAGGTCGCTCTGAATAGGAGCCTCTGCAAGATGCCTTTAATGTAAACGTAATGCCTAAAGCTTATTTTGGGATTGTCGTGATTAACTTTGCCTTATTAACTCTCCAGATTGGACAACGACAACAAGGAGAACGTCTACATGGGAGATGTCTGTGAAGTAGCTGCCAAGAAGAGAAAAAAGGACTTTTTCAACAACAACACTAAGTCACAGTGTAAATATTACATCATATTTAATTGCATCACACTCACACTTAATTACAACAATAATCTCAAATTTCAAAGTGAATTAGAGTTTCTTTGGACAATAGGCAATTATGCAGTTTAGCAGTCGTTATACAAAAATTTATAATTTTGTCATCAAGTTGTTCCAAACTGTGTGGACGGTAGCTAATGACTTCCATAGTAGGAAAAAATACTATGGAAGTCAATGGCTACCGTCAACTGTTTGGTTCCCAAAATTCTTCAAAATATCTTCAACAGACGAAAAAACCCGTACAGGTTTGGAACAACATAAGGGTGAGTGAATGATGACAGAATTTACATTTTTGGGTGAACTATCCCTTTAACAGAGAGCTAGAATCTCTGGAACAGTGGGCCATTATAAAGTTCAGTGGTCATTATACACAATTGACCAATCAGAGTTAAGTTTTCCAGAGCTGTGTAATAATTGGTAAATAGTACATATTTTTACATAATGCTTAATTACTTCATACTTAGTTTTTTGGGTTTAGTGGTCATTATACAAAATATATGACCACAGAATGCTATATTGGACCAATCAGAATAAATTTTTCCAGAGATCTGTGTAATTACAAATTTAAAAGTAGTATTTTTTTTTCACATCCAACCCACTTACAGATAAATGCAAATAAAAACCTAAGCAGTTAAAGGGATAGTTCACCCACAAATTTAAATTGTGTCATCATTTACTCACCCTCATGTGGTTCCAAACCTGTATGCATTTCTTCTGCTGAACACAAAAGAAGATATTTTGAAGAATGTTGACAAACCAAAGAGTTTCCGTTTCCATTGATTTCCATTGTATTTTTTGTCCATACAGTGGAAGTCAATGGGAATCAAAACTGTACCAACATTCTTCAAAATATCTTGTTTTGTGTTCAACAGAAGAAAGAAAGTCATACAAGTTTGTAAACTAAATGATGACGTAATTTTTATTTTTGGGTGGACTATCCCTTTAAGGATGTAATATATGGGTTAAGTATATTTTATCCTTTTTCTTAGTTTTGTTCCAGGAGAGGTGGATCTACGTTCAGAAGGAGAGTACGAGAGAGGTGAGATGAATTATGTCATAGCATCAATGCGTACAAGACTCAAAAAGTAGCAAATAAACAATGTCATTGTTTATAATTTACAGTTCTGCCATTATTCTTTTCCAATCTCATTCAATGCGCACCGTGTGTTTGTTGTTCCAGAGACATGGGTACTGTACGCTTGGTGAGGCCTTCAATCGTCTGGACTTTTCCAGTGCCATTCAGGATGTGCGGCGATTCAACTATGTTGTCAAAGTAAGATGTTCTGATCTCTGCTGAACAATTGCTGAATACAATTGAATACCTCTCTCTATTGAAATCACAGGCCTTTATCACACTTCCGTGTTCGAAAAGCGGAAAAACCTTCCGCTGAAGCCTGTATAAATGGCTCATAGGGATTTTTTTATGTAAAATTCAGCACAGATACTTCTTCTAAAGACACCATCCTCAGTTTACAATCATTAATTGAGTATTGTGAAACAAAGAAAAATGGTGTTGATTCCGACGCATATTCAGTGATTTAAAGCAAGCCATACTGTATCAGAGTCTGATCACTTTATTTTATTACAGAGCTGCAATAATACAATACAAACAACCGATCACATTGAAGAGCATTAAAATCAGACAACCCTTACTTTACGATGCAATCATCAATAATTAGATCAGATTGAAGTTGTTTAAATAAAGGAATATTTCCAGCAGGTTTTCCTATAACTGATTTGATCATCGTAAACGTGTCATACCCTCCGTGTTTAAGTGCAATGATTGGATTTGTACTGTTGACAAAAATGGGTGGTAATGTAATGCAAAAATAAACAAAATAACATTAAAAATAAAATGAAATCAGTCCGATTATTCCTTTGGCAGTAACTTGAGCTGCGTGCTGCTCGTTTATCTCATGACTGGCAGTTTCTCGGATAATGTTACATCAAATGAAAGATGACATACATACTAGGGTATTATGTAAGTCTAGATAAACAGTTTTAAATATTGACGTTTATTGTTAATTGTTAAGTTCCACTAAATTACCGGTAGTTTAATTTTCTTCTCAAAACTGGCGTCCGTCCATTGACAATAATGCAGGAAATTAGTTTACGCTACTAATCGGAGCCGGATGTGAGGATGACACACGGACTGTGATAAAGGCCTATTTTCTCCCACTTCACCCTCTCTGTTTCTTTCACTCTTAGCTTCTCCAGTTGATTGCCAAGTCCCAGCTGACGTCTTTGAGTGGAGCTGCTCAGAAAAACTATTTTAATGTCCTGGAGAAGATTGTGAGAAAAGGTGAGCTGGTCTTTCAGCATTATTCACAGACTCCTTTTTCTGTGAATGAACACTTTCATGCAGAAGCCATACTGGCCTGAAATATGTGCATCTCTACAAAATGATATTAAAAATGGGCAATGATTCCTTCGCTATTGGTTTGTTTGGCAGTTCTGGTTGACCATCAGAACCCTCGACTGATCAAGGCGTTGCTGCATGATCTAAGCTCCACCCTCTGCATCCTCATCCGAGAAGTTGGGAAGTCTGTGCTGGTCGGCAACATCAACATTTGGGTCTGCCGTTTGGAAACCATCTTAATCTGGCAACAGCAGCTCAACAATTTGCAAATTCCAAAGGTAGTCTTTTTCACAGTGTGTATATGGGTTAGGGAAGTGCAAAAATCTTTTTCAAAAATCTACCTATATCTATTTGATCAAAAATAAATAAATGAAAGATAAAAAAATACATTTATATAAATGGACTAGTCAGTTTCAGTCACATGTTGTTGGTTGTGGGATGACTAATTCATATAAATAATATCCTATAGGATATCATTTATCCTATATTAGGGTGACCATATTGTAGTCTTCAGAAAAGGGGGAGGGGAGGGGGTGAATACATCAACAAATGCTTGACAAATGCATTCACAACCTTGCAACTATGTTATTGAACTTTAATACATAAAGTAGTAATACATCTTTCCATTCAACTTTTGGCCTGCAACAATAAAATAATGACACAAAAAAAAAATAGTTTAGCTTTTAACACCTTTTACTCGACACTGTTTCTTTTCATGACCATTGGTTAAAATAAAATAAAATAAAATCAGTTGCCTTAAAAACCCCCACTATTTCAGTAAAAAATAATTTCAGTCCTCCAGATGTTCTCTTGTATACTTTCCTTATGTGGGCTTCGAGGTCGCTAGCACCTTTATGACACGTACGTGCCAGCTTTGCAGGTCGTGCATTCTGCTTCACACGGATCCCGACCGAGACGAAAACACAGGAATTGTCTCTGTAAATCATCTGTGAATTTACATTTGGGCTTTTTTTTTACGCTGTTCAGGAGTCATGTGCCACTGTTGACAAACAAGCGCTGCTCTGTGTCTCTTGGCTGTTGCCGTGGTGCTGAGGGTAATGATTGAGATGCAGTTTGACCAATGTTTGCGTTACGTACATGACCGACCGACCAATGGTGCCGTGCGAGAAGGCGGGACCTAAAGCAATGCAATAACGCACATCAACCCGATCACGTTTATCGTTCATGTAAACAGTACATTCAGATTCATCAATCTGAATGAATTCTGTCCGATTGAAACAAAAGGTGTGCATGTAAACATAGAAAAGCCAAATCCCGGACATTTTGGGCGATCTAGAAATACCGGCGGGATGCATTTTTTGGTCCAAAAAGAGGACATGTCTGGGAAAAAGAGGACGTATGGTCAGGTCACCCTATCCTATATAAATATATCAGACAGCAATCTTAAAAATACTTTATTTATATAATTTAAATATATATATATATATATATATATATATATTATTAAATTATATAAATAAAGTATATTTAAGATTGCTGTCTGATTAACTTTTAGGACCAAAGTGAACTGTTCAATCTGTTGTATTTCTTGTGGTTATACTTGACAACAACCTTCTGTTTGTATTTACATAGATAACGCTAAATATGTTTCTTTGCAGCAAGTTTCAAATGGGATGACACTGAGCGACCTCCCTTTGCTCATGCAAAACAACATTTTGTACAAGTTTACTGATGCCTGTGACATCATCAATCTGGGACAAGCCACACCAACTCTGCACATGCTCAGTGAGGACCGGCAACTGTGGAAAAAACTGTGCCAGTTTCATTTTGCTGAGAAACAGGTGAGGAATAAGAATTTATTAAGTCACTCATAATTGGATGTTTTTCCATCACACACAGCATCTCAAGTACTATATCAAGATTTATTTTTTCAAGATTTCAAGTGGTCAAAGGTGGCCCCAATTGAAGTATCACCCAGATATGAACGTCTGTTTAGGCACTTATGAATGAGGTTTTGTCTGAGATTCTTTTATATGAATCATTTTGGAGATTCAGAATGGCTGAAAATTGAGTAAGCTGCTTAATTTGAGCACAAGATGGCAGTACAGAGGCATCATGCCAAGTGTGCCGCACAAGCCCTGGCAAGTGAAGCCAAAGCATTTCGATCGCCCCCTGGTGGCTGGCTGCAGTATAGATATTAAACCCCACCCTCTCCTTATAATTGAATGGGATTCGAGCCAAACAAACAATTCCAAAATGGTTTCTGTCATTTCAGGCAGTTCTCATCATTTGACGCATGTTCAAGTCTTCGTTTTCCCAGTAAGTTTGGTTTTAGTTAGTTATTTGATGCTATAAAATGGGGTTTAGCGTCATGATTGACAGCTGCCACCCCCCCCCCCCCCCTCCCCCTGGAATTGGGTCTCCTTTAGGACCCAGGCGGTAATGCCTGATCAAAAGTTGTTGTCGCAATGTCTTGACTAATTATAATTTATAACCCTATTGTATGATGTTTATTACATTAAAACATGCTTGAAATATAGAAGGAATGAGGTATAGAAGGATAAGGATTGTTGCAACATACCATATGTTCTGTAAAAGTAATTTAATATTAATTGTACACAATAATTGTAATGTGGTATAGTATATAAAACATTTTTAATACATTAATTGTCATTCTATGGTCACACAAGCATCATTAATTTGAAACATGTAATTGGGAACTATATTGGAAGCAAAAAAATACCTAAAATAATATAAGCTAAGCTAGCAGGCTAATCGGATTATTTCTCAAACAGTAAGAATGAGAAATGCTTGATTTCACAACCTATAGCTTCAGTTATATGCTAGTAAATGAACCATGTAATTTAAAATACATCAATGGTAATTATAACGCATTTTAAACGATATAGATCATAACGTGAATTTGCAGGAATTGTAATCAGGTGCTAAAAATACTACCCATTAAAAGTCAGTTAAACCACTCAGGGTCCTAAGGGAGACCCGATTTCTCACAACATCGGCTCCACCTCAGGATCACTCCTGCGCAGACTCGGCCTCTGAACGACGTGATCGGCAACGACGGTTGCAGAGATGCACGGCCCCTCTTTTTTACACAGTCTATGCATCATGCACACAGGCCTATAAACCACTGGTGTGCAAGAGAGGTCTGTTTCTCAGCAGAAGTCACAGAAGAAGTCACTGTGTTTGTGTGTGTTCAGTTCTGCAGGCACTTGATTCTGTCAGAGAAGGGCCATGTGGACTGGAAGCTGATGTTTTTCACACTTCAGAAATACTACCCTCAGAAAGAACAGTACGGAGACACTCTGCAGTTCTGCAGGCACTGTAGCATCCTCTTCTGGAACGTAAGAAATCCTTTTTAAATGTCAAACATTCTGGTCTGTGAATAAACAGTAGGACATCCATCCGGATGATATTTAGATATAAGTGCTCTTCTCAAATGTTTCCCTTGTTGAAGCCCAGTGTTGTTATCTTCTAGTCTAGAACTGCAGTTTGTGGTCAGAAACCCATTATAGACACACATATTAATAGATAAGCATCAGTTTGTTTCAGTGATTAAAAAAAAAAATTAAAATATAAATAAATGTAATTTATTCCAGTGTTAGAAATTCTAATATGCTGATTTACAGCACAAGAAGCATTTCTTATTATTACCATGGTTGAAAACAGTTGTTCTGCTTATTATTTTCGTGGAAACTCTAATTCAGTTTTTTGTAAATGTTTTTCAGCATCCTTTGATGAATATAACGTTTGTTTATTCATTTATTTGAAATATTTTGTAATGTCGTTACTGTCACTTTTGATCAATTTAATACATTCTTGCTGAATAAAAGTATAAATATCTTTAAAAAATAAATAAAATCTTACCAAAATCCCGAAACTTTTCAGCGGTTGTATAATTATGGATAGTTTATTATGAATAGTTCACCTAAAAATGACAATACACTCAGTTAAATAAATGATGACAGATGCTGAAGTGTTAGTTCTACCATACATATTTTCACTTCAAAAAGTTTACTTTCAACAGTTTTAGGTTAGATCTTCTTCTTGTACCCTTTGACCTTTGATTATTTTCCTGTTCTCCTCCTGGTCCCTTATCTCCCAAAGGACAGGCACCTGGCTTTGATCTTTAAGGTACATGCTAGATCTGATATTAATGTGTCAGCTTTTTGAAATCATTGTCTGTTAATAAAATTTGTTTTGTTTCATCAGTCCTTTTTTCTTTTTCTCTCCACCTGTCGTCTTTTTCTGTTTCGGCCCGTTATTCTTTCTTACACTTCAATCCATTCAAATCAACTGGACTTGATCTGTCTCGTTTGTATTCTTAATATTTGAGTAGATGTATTTATCTTTTTTGTAGAATGTCTTTTTTTCCCATTTGCTTTCTTGTATGTTCCACATCAACGTTTTACATTAAGGCTGTGTGTCCACCAAAGCTTTTTTTGTTTTTATGGGAGCACTGCGTTTTTAAAACGGCAGCAGTGTGATGAGGTGCTGAGTGTCTATTTCACTCGGAGTGCTCTTTTTTTTTTTCTTTTTTTTTTTTACCGGTCGCAGAGTTAAAGAGAGTTCAACTTTGAGTAAAACGCAGCGCTCATCACTGTCAATTTTTACCCAGCCGTCCAATCACAGTGGAGGAGGTGCGGGACAAATACCACACTGACCAACTGTCACATTCTGCTTGTTCAACGATAACAAATGACAACAACAAGCACATCTCTTCATCCAAAACTAGTGCCAGCGCAGGTGTGTTACATTGTGTCGGCATTTTTATATTCAGAAACAAACTATTTGCGAAATCAGATACTAGTAACAGTTCCACGGATTTTACGCATCAGCACATAGCATCTCAACTGAAAAAAACACAGCAAGGCATTTTCAGAAGAGCCAGTTTTCAACTGGCAAAAAAATGCTTTGGTGGACACATGCGTTAATGCTCATCTCTGCTGATCACTCAAATATGCTTACAGTTTCAGTAACTATAATTTTTGCTTATACTTAAGAGTTAGGAATTAGAACAGATCACTAACACTGAGTATTACACTTCAGGTGTGTTTGACCTTTTCTAATCTATTAGAATTACGAATCAGAATATTAGAATTCTATCAGAATTTTTGTCTGACGGATGATAAAAAGGCAACAAAATCCCATAGACTTACATTGATAGAGGAACCCTAGCAGCCTAACAGTAGCTATGTTTTCATCCACCTATTTTTATTCGAATTAAAAAAAAAAAAAAAATGCTGGACGGAAACGCCAAGATGAGCATAAATTCAAAAAATCTTATGCGCTCAATTGAAGCAGATAATATTTTTATCCGATATAAGAAGACATGCTCATAAACTATGATGGAAACACATTTACCGAATAATTCCCTTGATGCGCAACATAAAAACCCATGTGACTTTGCCTCAACAGAGGATGTGATCAGATAACTGGACTAACCAGTGGACCGATTTCATTGCCTGATCCAAAGTCTGTCTGATTTGGTTTAATTCCCTCCCAGAACGGTCACATGATTGCATTCCCAAACATCAGGCATCTTAAAGGAGAACTCTGGTCAATTTTAACATTGAGCTCATTTTTTTTTGTACATTTGGAGTGCTGTCAGTACAGACAAAAACGACAAAAATCGGTGTTGCCTACACCGTGTTATCCTCTTTTTAAAATTCGCACCCTGTTGACTTCAATGGGGCAAGTTCTAAACCTGCTTTTAGCCTCTTAACATCCTTGATTTGTCATTACAAGTGCACAGCCATGTGAGTGGTGTTATTAAGAGTGACCACGGTCAATCTGACTGCAGTAGATGTGAAAGATATTAATAAAAATGATGTTAATTCAGCCAGCTCACATACCTGTATTTACTTCCTGTTTTCGTTCGAAGTCCACAGTAGTCGATTTTCGAGTTTGCGCGCGCGATCGTTAGTTATATTAGTTACATAGACAGTAAAAGAAATGGACACAGCGACCCCACAGACTTCAACGGAGAAAAGTGAAGTCAAATAGAAGCACTCACTTCCTGATTGCCAAGCGAACTGCGCAGGCTCAAACTGAACTTGAAGACGTAGATGTGACGTGAGCAACCTGACTGACAGTTGTACGTCTTCTAGTAGCGGTGCCAAGAGGAATCTGAATCATTCCCTTCTGAATCTTGCAGAGCCGGAGATCGTGAGTTTTAGCTGTTCATGAGCTAGCAGCAGGATCAACTTTATGACTCTTTATGGGCTTCTCCCTTGACTTTATGCCTCCACGTCCCCCGATTGCGAGTGAGCTTCTAATTCTGTCATTTCGGTCATTTCTCTTCTATGCGATAGAGAGTCGCGTGTTATGACGCAATCGTTAGCCTATTTTTACAAAAACTGCTTCTACGGGGCCACAACATAAGATACAAGGTATTGGAGCATTTTATACATTGTCGTGTTTCTTTAGAAATAAATAACGGACAAATGGAGTCTTTAAACGCCTCAGATGTAAAGTTATTCGCTGTCAAAGTGACGCAAAAATGAATGGGAGTCAATGGAATGCTAACAGCAGGTGAAGGCTTGTTAGCCAATGGCGGCGCCCGGGGAGACTTTAGTTTCCGGCTGGTGGATTACCCCCTTGATTAGTTACCAATGATCGCGCGCGTGCGAACTCAACAATCGACTACTGTGGACTTCGAACGAAAACAGGAAGTAAATACAGGTATGCGAGCTGGCTGAATTAACATCATTTTTATTAATATCTTTCACATCTACAGGTTTAGAACTTGCCCCATTGAAGTCAACAGGGTGCGAATTTTAAAAAGAGGATAGCACGGTGTAGGCCACACCGATTTTTGTCTGTACTGACAGCACTCCAAATGTACAAAAAAATTAGCTCAATGTTAAAATTGACCGGGGTTCTCCTTTAACGCAAGATAACATGACAGTGTTTATGGCGTTTCAGCAAGTCATTTATGATATACGATAAGAGCCACAGTGGCTTCCTCGATTGTAGCAACTTTCATTTTTATTACTGACATTTTGCGCCAATTTCCCAGTAAGTGGCGATTTTGTTCTCCTGATCACATGGGATGGAAACAGTGCTTTATTCGCAAATGTTTTATGCGATATTCCTATTTTATGCATACGTTCAATGTTTGGAAACATAGCTAACGTGGCTGCAACTTTTGCATGGACAAAAAGCACTGACTTTTCCTGATTTTGACCGACCTCTCTTTCCATCGCAGGACTCGGGACATCCTTGCACGGCCAACGATCCCGACAGCTGCCTCACCCCCGTCTCTCCCCAGCACTTCATAGACCTCTTTAAGTTCTGAAATTCAGAATGTTCTCGGACCTCTCGCCTTCCCATCTCCTCTGGAACACCTGCAAACAAACACCTCTAACCAAGACTCTGAACCTTTTTCCACTCTGTGCTCCAACCGTGTCAACCATGTTTCTTCTCCTTTACGTTTCCCAGACGGTTGTTTTATGATTAAAAAGTGTGAAAGTTCAATCCTCTGAGTCTGACAATGTAACGAATGATCGAATTTTCTCTTGCCTCGCTCAAATTTTAAGGGCTTATCATGGAAAGATGTCATAATATTAGTGTTAATTTCTTTTTCTTGTTCCCCGTTGTGTTCATCTGTTCTTCGAGCACGCGAAAAGAGGCGGGATATGGGAAGGATTGTGTGTTAAAAGCAAAAAAGCGAAACAAACCTGCTTTTGGGAAAGACGAACTGATGGGAAAAGCGTGGGAGATCCTGAGCGGAGGTTATCTTGTCTTTTCGTGGATGTATTTTCATTTCTGTACCGATGGAATGCACGTCAGAAATAGTCGTAGGTTAATGTTTATGTGAGTTCTTGTGTTGTCTTGTCGTGCTGTGCGTATGTATTTGATGCGTCAACACTAAAGTCTACATTTGCATTTGCTGCACAAAACAACTTTTTACGATACACTTTTGTTAAGTCTGTCGTGAGGGCAGATGGAAAATCTAATGTAAGCTTTGCTATTTATGAACAAATGTATTTTATATCCTTTCTCTGAACTTTGTAATATTCCTTTACTATTACTCTAATATAAATGTTATTGAAATGGCTGCTGAACTGTAGGATGTGTTTGGTACTATCAAGCATTTGCCAGAAATATTATCTAAAATTAAAACTTTTGAAAAAAAACCAAAAACATTTGTTTCCATCTATCTGAAAGCAGTCTCCTCAGCTCCTTTCAAAAATTGTAAAATAATTAAATCAGCTATTTTAGTTCACAAATTAGCACAGAAAATTTAAATAAATCGTTTATAAATCATTTTGTTCCTCAACATTGATAATAAAGAGCTAGACTTTGTGATGAAATCTGAGCGATTTCTGCCCCTCCATTGACAGCTACGCAACTACAACTTTGACGCTTCAAAAAGTTCATAAAGAGTTCGTAAAAGTCCAACTGGTTAAGTCCATTTTTTACAGTCTATGGTTTAGTCCAAATTTTCTGAAGAGACACAATCGCTTTACAGTGAAAAGATTTAATTAGGCTTTTATTAAACTTTGATCAGCGAACATACACAGAAGCTCAACCGAACCTGCTTGACACCCAAGGGGGTAATCCATCGACCGGAAGTTGAAGCCGGCCGGGTGCCGCCATCTTGTAGCAGAACTTCACTTGCGTTAGCATTTCCATTGACTCCCATTCATTTTGGCGTCACTTTGACAGCGAATAACTTTACATCTGAGGCGTTTAAAGACTCCATTTGTCCATTATTTATTTCTAAAGAAACACGACAATGTATAAAGGGCTCCATTACCTTCTATGTTACATTATGGCCCCGTAGAAACAGTTTTTGTAAAAATAGGCTAACGATTGCGTCATAACCACTCGACTCTCTGTCGCGCTGTACAGAAATGACCGTACAGACAGGAGGAGAAGCTCACAGGCAATCGGGGGACGTCCCGTCAAGGGAGAAGCCCATAGATAATGAGTCCATAAAAGCAACGGAATACTTACTCCTGCTCACTCACGCCAAAGAACTCTTTGCTCAAGTTCCCCGTCTCTGCAAGATTAACGTTGGCAATTTTCACGCACAGCTACTAGAAGATTAACGTCTGTCAGACAGGTTGCTCACGTCATCAAGCTTAGTTTGAGTCGGTTTGAGTCTGCGCGTCAGGAACGGAAGTGCTCAAAAATCGCTAAAAATGGGCTTCAACTGTCTCAACTGAGTTCCAATGAGATGGCTCTGTCCACTTCTTATACTGTCTATGCTTGACACACGAGATTGAACCTCATTGGTTCTTCCTGAAGCTCAAACGTGCTGCGTAACACGAGATTGAACCTCATTGGTAACACACACGACATGAGAATGAACCTCAAATTTATCAACTGTGTTTTTTGAAGCTACAAAAGGTGCAACTGGTTATGAGATTAGGAAGGTGGTTCAAACAGACAAAAAATAAATAAAAAAGAATACGGCATAAATATGTCATCATAAAAATAAAAGAATATGGCTATCAATTTTTTTTATTTTAAGTTTGGGGTCAGTAAGATTTTTTTTTTATTTGAAAGAAATGAATACTTTTATTCAGAAAAGCTAAATTGATAAAAAGTGACATTAATACCTTTATTATGATAGAAAAGATTTCCATTTCAGATAATTGCCGTTTTTAAACTTACCATTTAACAAAGAATCCTGAAAAATGCATTTTCCACAAAAATATTAAGCAACTGTTCTCAACATTGATAATAAACATTGAACATTAAATCAGTATATTAGAACGATTTCTGAAGGATCATGCGACACTGGAGACCAGTAATCACAGGAATAAATCACATTAAACAAATTTAAATTACAAAATAATATAAAAGTTATTTTAACCCTTTACCTGTCACCCCCCCTTTTGATAATTTACATTAAAATGCACTATACAAACTTAAATGGTTGTAATTCAAGAATGCTTTGGAATATAGACCTAAGTTTGGTCTTGTTTTAAAGAAAACAATCAGCAGATTATTACTAAAGTGGAAGCACTTCAAAAAATTAAAGTATGAAAAAGTTATGGAAGTTATAATTTACAGTAAATCAAATATAGTTTATTAATATATTTTTTTAATATAAAATAACTATTTTACAAAATATTTTTTACTATAAAATTACTATAAAATGAAAGCTATATATCTAACCAAGTTGTGTTCCAAATTTAAAGTTGATATCACAAAAATTGAAGTTCCAATGAGATTTTGTTTAGGCGTAGTGCCAAAAATAGCCACCGGGTGCCATTGAATTCCATTGAATTTAATTGTATGTATTCTGCCATAACAAATTATTAAATTTCTATCCAAATATCACTTCTGTCACTAAATATGGAACCTTGAGACTCAGACCTTTCTGACAATATGTGTTTTGTCAAGATTAGAAAAGGTTTTGATAATAAATTATGAAAGATGATGCCCAAAAGGGGAGGGGCCTAATAAAAAATACCGTTTCTATGGTAACGGAAAGTCCAATTTCAAAACGGGTTTCACAGGATGAATTCTGAGTTTGTAAGCTTTCAAATGATACCTAGTTTATGATAACTACTAAAATATGTGATATAATAATAAAAAATGTATATATATATAATATATATTATACTTTTTAGAGGACTTCTTACTTTACTTTTTAAAATATAATTTTATCTTTTTTTATTGACAAATACTAGATTATGTTTTATTATGAACTTTTAGCACTAAAAACCAAAGTTTCAATTATTAAAAGTGTCTGCGTCGACTTTTTGTGACAAAGGTCAGAAACTCCTGTAATGACGTCGATTTTTTGAGGCGCACTCTTGTCATAAATTCATATATTACTGTTCATTCATAATTTGTAAGAAAAAAAACAGCGCTAAAATATCTATTAAGGAGTCTTAGACCTTTCCAACGATATATAGTTTGTCATGACTAGATTAGGATTTAATAGTAATATAGTGAAGTAAATTTAGGTTGCAGGTGACAGTTAATTACTTCACAATATAGCTATTTTACTGTATTTTGAGCAAATACAGACTTCTTTCAAAAACATTAAAAAAAAAAAACTTACCAAGTCCAAACTTTTGAACAGTAGTGAACATTGGAGAAAAAAAATAAACAAAACAAGACCCAAGTATAAAGTGTAACTCTTTATTTAGATTCACACGCTTATGTGAACCCTTGGAACTACAAAATATTGATATTGTCATTTAAATCATAATAATACAGAAAAAGAAAATCATTCAGTAGTATCAAGATAAAATCAAAATAACTTTTGCAAAGGCTCCAAATAGAAAGAGAAAAATCTGAAACTAATATGTAATCACATTTGTGGACTAATTATATAAAGCTAACATGAACAACAGAGCAGCAAACTCACTTACTCTCAAAATCGGATTATAAATAAATCTCCTAAAATCAGCAATAAGACACATTCTTCTAGCAAACCAAAGATATTATAGGCTGTTTATTTGGCATTGGTAAAAGGTTGATATATAAAATACATTGCATATTAGACTTATAAATGATGATTGTCATTTTTACCATGTTGAGGGAGTTGGAACTTTTAAATCGAGGCACAGCAAAGAAAAATGTGGCCTACTCCATGATAAAACGGCACAGCTCTTGAGGTCTTATTAACGGGATCTGGATGCTCATCCCATTCCTGGAGATCCAACCTACTTCAGAGCTTGTTTTTCTCAAATGAATCTGAAGACTAATGATTAGCTGGTTTAAGTATGTTTGATTAGTCAAAATCTCCAGGGGCAGGACCGAGCAATTATACAGTCAATTTAAAGGGTTAATTCACCCAAAAAACTAAAATTATCCCATAATTTACTCACCCTCAAGCCATCCTATAGGAAGAAAGTCATATAGCTACACCTAGATGGCTTGAGGGCGAGTAAATAATGGGATAATTTTCATTTTTTGGGTAAACTAACCCTTTAAAATCATGTATGTTGTATAAAGCCACAGTAAGTTATCTTCCTTGAGACAGAAAAGTAGCACTGAACAATCATTGGCATGATCAATATAGCAAGTAGTTCGGGATTTTAGCGAGGAGGAAATTATTGCATAGGCATACAGTAAGTAGCCTACATTATGATTGTGAATCAGCAGGCAGTAGCGATTCTAAATCTACTCAGTGGAAGGCGTTTCTACTTCATTTCACATTCAATCTTTAACTACATAGCAGAGTCAATGAACCACCATATAAACATTACAACGCATTGATCTCTAGTCAGCACTTAGTGTTTAAGGGGATTGAGACGCGATGCACCATCTGTCTGTGAAGGTGGGAACTGCAGCCTCGCTCAAACCAGTCGCCACGAATAAAACGTGGATTTAAAGGCACAGTTTACCTAAAAATGGGCATTCTAACTTCATTTCTTGACCTTTATGACGTTACAAACCTGTTTGACTTTCTTCTGTAAAAAGTAGTTCAGCAGAATGTCCTGAATGCTCTTTTTCATACAATGAAAATGACCTGGGACATGTTCATTGCAGTAAACAACAACTTATTCTTAGGTCTGCTCCTCACATAAATGTATCGTACAAATAAAGAACACTTAGAATATAGTGCACAAGTCACTTGTACTATATTTATCATACTTTCTTGTCCTTTTAGCAGCTACAATTTCATTGTATGGACAATACCTGGGGCATTTGGCTAAACTACTTCTTTTGTGTTCCAGTGAGAAAAGTAAGTCATTCAGGTTTGGAATGACACAATGGTTAATAAATGATGACAAGATTTTCATTTTTGCCTGAACTGTACCAAAGGGATAGTTCACCCAAAAATGAAAATTCTGTCATCATTTACCCACCCTCATGTTTTTCCAAACCTATATGAGTGGAACCTAAATACTGTGGAAGTCAATAGCTACCCTCAACTGTCTGGTTACCAACATTCATAAAAATATCTTCTTTTGTGTTCAGCGGAAGAAAGAAACTCGCTACAAGCTTGGAACAACATGAGGGTGAGTAAATGACAACATTTTCATTTTTGGGAGAACTATGTCTTTAAATGTCATTTCTGGCCTTTAAAAGTAATCTAGAAATCGTAAGTGACGTCAGACACCGGCTGCAAATACATCCAGTGATTTCTCAGAAGGAGCTTCATTCAAAAGTTGGAAAAGTATTTTATATCAAATCATAAAAGTAAAAATATTTTTGATTGACAGGCATTTTGAGCAGGCACTCTTGGCCTGAGGGTCCTACTTTTCCCATCTGTGGGCTGTCCAATTCGAGTTGTATACAAGGGGGCGTGGCCATTCTAACAAACATTAATATTAAATCATTTAAGCCCCTCCCAAGTGCTCTCTGATAGGCTGGCTGGACTTCTGCGACGAACGGCAGCTAATTTATCTCTTGCCCGGGCCGCCCACTGGGCAGGGCCGCCGTTCTGTGACTCAGTCAGACTAGCGTAGCGAGACGAGTCCTCCTCCGAACCCAAGCCAACCCAGGACGGCAAACCTAGAGAATGCGGCAAAGACAATGACAAAGGGGAAGACAGCGGGGACGAGTCACTCTTCTTCTTCTCCGGCTCATGTTTTTCCTCCTCCTTTCCGTCATTCAGCTGAGGTGGTTCCCAGCCCTCCATCTTATCAATCTTCCTCGTAGGTGTGATTTGCTTCATCGTCATGGTGATGCTGTCCCATAGACAGTGTGCTTTGTCTTTTTCTGTGTGCGGTTTGCTCTTGTCGTCCTCCCAGGTTTTCTTAGCAGACCTGAGAAAGAGAAAGAAGGAGAATGATTTATTGTAAACTGAAAAAGTTCTACTTAAACAACTTCTTATCATTGTTGCTATTGCTTACATAACTGAAAAAAACATTAAATAGCTGAGCAAACAACTTACGCAAATTTCAATAGATCTCAGAGCAGATATTAAAAATGTAATATAAAGTAATAATTATTATAATTAATAATGATATATTTTTAATGCCCACCAAAGCTGCATTTATTTGATCAGAAATACAATAATAATAATGTACACTCACCGGCCACTTTATTAGGTACACCTGTCCAACTGCTCGTTAACACTTAATTTCTAAGCAGCCAATCACATGGCGGCAACTCAGTGCATTTAGGCATGTAGACATGGTCAAGACAATCTCCTGCAGTTCAAACCGAGCATCAGTATGGGGAAGAAAGTTGATTTGAGTGACTTTGAACGTGGCATGATTGTTGGTGCCAGAAGGGCTGGTCTGAGTATTTCAGAAACTGCTAATCTACTGGGATTTTCACGCACAACCATCTCTAGGGTTTACAGAGAATGGTCCGAAAAAGAAAAAACATCCAGTGAGCGGCAGTTCTGTGGGCGGAAATGCCTTGTTGATGCTAGAGGTCAGAGGAGAATGGCCAGACTGGTTCGAGCTGATAGAAGGGCAACAGTGACTGAAATAACCACTCGTTACAACCGAGGTATGCAGCAAAGCATTTGTGAAGCCACAACACGCACAACCTTGAGGCGGATGGGCTACAACAGCAGAAGACCCCACCGGGTACCACTCATCTCCACTACAAATAGGAAAAAGAGGCTACAATTTGCAAGAGCTCACCAAAATTGAACAGTTGAAGACTGGAAAAATGTTGCCTGGTCTGATGAGTCTCGATTTCTGTTGAGACATTCAGATGTTAGAGTCAGAATTTGGCGTAAACAGAATGAGAACATGGAACCATCATGCCTTGTTACCACTGTGCAGGCTGGTGGTGGTGGTGTAATGGTGTGGGGGATGTTTTCCTGGCACACTTTAGGCCCCTTAGTGCCAATTGGGCATCGTTTAAATGCCACGGCCTACCTGAGCATTGTTTCTGACCATGTCCATCCCTTTATGGCCACCATGTACCCATCCTCTGATGGCTACTTCCACCATGTCACAAAGCTCTAATCATTTCAAATTGGTTTCTTGAACATGACAATGAGTTCACTGTACTAAAATGGCCTCCACAGTCACCAGATCTCAACCCAATAGAGCATCTTTGGGATGTGGTGGAACGGGAGATTCGCATCATGGATGTGCAGCCGACAAATCTGCGGCAACTGTGTGATGCCATCATGTCAATATGGACCAAACTCCCTGAGGAATGCTTCCAGCACCTTGTTGAATCTATGCCACGAAGAATTGAGGCAGTTCTGAAGGCAAAAGGGGGTCCAACCCGTTACTAGCATGGGGTACCTAATAAAGTGGCCGGTGAGTGTATGTAACATATGTACATACACATTACTTTTTTATATATGTATTCTATATATTGTGAAATATTTCAAATTTAATATTATAATTACCGTCTGTTTGAATATATGTTAAAATGTAATGTATTCCTGTGATGCAAAGCTGAATTATTATCAATGTTGTAAACAGTTGTGCTGCTGCTTAATATTTTTTTGTAGAAACCATGATACAGTTTGTTTCAGGATTCCTTGATGCACGGAAATTTCAAAAGAACAGCATTTATAAAATAGAAATCTTTTGTAACATAATAATACATATCAAGTTGATATCACTTTAATCAACTGAATGCCTCTTCCGAAAAGTATTAATATCTTTATTTAAAAAAAAAAAAAAAGATCCAAAACCCCAGAACTTTTTTGTAATATTTATTAATTTCATAAATATTTTTACTGACTTTTTTTGGGGGATCAATTTAATTTGCCTTTGCTAAATAAAAGTATTATTTAAAAAAAATATATATATATTATCTTACTTACCCCAAAGTTTTGAGTGGCAGTGTTATAAAAAAAGCTGCTAAAACTGTTTTCAACATTGATAATAATAAGAAATGATCTTAGAATGATTTCTGAAGGATCATGTGACACCAAAGACTGACGTTATTATGCTGAAAATTCACCTTTGATTACAGGAATAAATTACATTTGAACAAATATTACAACAAAAAAACAGTTATTTAAATTGTAATAGTATTTCACAGTATTACTGTATTTTTGATCAAATAAATGCAGCCTTGGTGAGATTAAGAGACTACTTTCAAAAAAATTTTGTTTAACGTTAAACAAAACTTTAATGTTTCCAAACTTATGACCGGTAGTGAGTGTGTGTGTGTGTGTGTGTATATATATATAT